AAGCTTCTGCGAGCTAGGGAGAGGCGACAAGCAGCTTCACATTTGGATGACTGGCTCGAAGGCGGGGTGCAGGAGGATGTTCGTATGATGCATACTCAGGCACATCAGTCCGACGCAGAAGACACACTGGAGAGCGAGCCAGCTCACGACGCTCTGGGATCTGCTTCGCGTGGCGTCGTTCTCGGAAAGCGCTCGGCACCAACGCCTTTACACCCAGACGATCGAAGCTATGCCGGGGGCTTGTCGTCTTTCGTACAACCTGAGCTCGACAATGTTGTTGCTGGAGATGCAGATCCGTCCCTGGTGGCCATGTGGCAGGTTGTACCCGACCTCCAGAAAGATGCTATGCAGGACATCAAGACTCAAATCATCGTCCCAACAGTCGTCGAATATTTGGATATCGTCAAGCGGCGCAAATTGGGTACTCTCGCGACTGGAAATGGTACGAGTGCGGATTACCGACTACTGCAGTCCCAACCAGCCGTCGCTGCTCAGACACTCGCAAAGCACAGCGCCTCATCTTCATCTCCCTCGAACTTTCGTATCGACGGATTCCTGATGGGCATCAGGAACGGTACCATGACTGACGAGAAGGTGCCGAGCAATTTCTCGATCAAGGCCCAGACGGATAACGGCGACACCACCATCCACGCATCTGTGCGTGCCGACGCCTATATGACCATCTTCAAGGCCCTCAGTGTCCTGGATTTACTTGATCGTGACATGGACAAGGTGGAACACAGCAAGGCAAATGGTATAAAAGGCAGATGGACGTGCTTGTTCAAGAAAGCACTGAACGAGATGTGCAAGTGGCCGGCTGAAGGCGAAGCGGGACAGTACGCATGCGACTACTGTATGAGACGTCGCCGCCCTTGCATCATTGCAATCAAGGGCGTCTTCTCAGTTGCCCCATTAGCTCCTAGCCTGAGGATGGGTCGAGGAATGGGTGACAGGGAATACTGCGTGTTGCCCGGAGGGGCTGTCAACGCAAAGCGAAAGTTCTTCTCGTAGAGCTTTCCACATCGAAGCAAACTCGCGGGGAATGCATAGTCTGCTGGGGAGACATGAGCTGGACATCGAGCAGCAGTTGTGTATGTTATCTGTGTACCAAGTATCTAGGTATGGATAGTTCAGCAGACATAACAAAATACACAGTGTTAGATACCAGTGCGTGTCCTTATCAAGGCATTTGAAAATTGGTTTGGGTGCAGAGTGATGCGTAATGATTGCCAAGGATTCCGATCCGAGAGTAGCTTGTCAAGAAAGTCGATTCGGTCGACATTGGGATGATGCACGGCGGGTACAAGGGCCGACGGACGAACACATGGAAGATGGGACCGCGGGAGGTTTGCGCTAGTACTAGCAGGCACTAGTGTGAGCCCCGCTCCTGAACCAACCGGATGGGACCGAGGCACAGCTGCGCGCCTGTGAAACCACGCCGTCAAGACGCCCTGCACCTCCGCCTTGGACCTTATAGCCCGCCATTGGCGTCTCTCTAGCTCTTGAACCAACCTCGCCGCCCCAGGCCTATCCAAGACTTTTACCATTGAACCTCCAGGACGACCATCGCAGCTCAAAATGGCGGAAATAGCACCTTTCGAGCACACGCCCATGGACGACATCGCGCCCACATGCGCCAAAGTCCGCGCCAGCTTCCTCTCGCACAAAACCAAGCCGCTCGAGTACCGCATCCAGCAGCTGCGCAAGCTCTACTGGGGCTTCAAGGACAATGAGGAGCTCATCAAGGAGGCGTGCAAGCGCGACCTGGGCAAGCCGTCGTTCGAGACATACCTGACGGAGATCTCGTGGTGCATGAACGACTGCATCTGGATGGCCAACAACGTCCCGCGCTTTGCCAAGGACGAGAAGGCGACGGACATCCCATGGACCAACATGCCGCTCCGCCCGCGCATCAAGAAGGACCCATTGGGCACTGCGCTGATCATTGGGTATGTCGCGTGTGCATGTTGAGAGATACTAGCTGACGAGACCAGAGCCTACAACTTCCCCATCCAACTCACCCTCGGCCCTCTCATCGGTGCCATCGCCGCAGGATGCACTGCCGTCGTCAAGCCCTCCGAATCCGCCCCCAATGCCGCCGTCGCCATCGAGAAGATCATGCGCGACTCCCTCGACCCCGAATGCTACACGTGCATCCAGGGTGCCATCCCCGAGACAACCGCCCTACTTGACCAGAAGTGGGACAAGATCTTCTACACTGGCGGAGAGATGGTCGCCAAGATCATCGCGAAGAAGGCAGCCGAGACCCTCACACCCTTGACACTGGAGCTGGGAGGCAGGAACCCCGCTATCGTCACAAAGCATGCAGACATGAAGCTTGCTGCAAGGAGACTATTATGGGCAAAGACACTTAACGCCGGTCAGGTCTGTCTCAGTCACAACTGTACTTTTATTGATCGTGAGATGGTACCTGCATTTATCGAAGAGATGAAGAAGCAGCTCAAAGAGTTCTACCCAGAAGGCGCTCAAAAGTCACCCGACTACGGTCGCATAGTCAACGAGCGCCAGTTCCAGCGCATGAAAAAGATGATTGACGACAGCAACGGCAAGATTGTCCTCGGCGGCACAATGGACGAATCCGACCTCTTCATCGAGCCCACCGTCGTCCAAATCAGCGACATGAACGACAGCATGGTCACCAGCGAATCCTTCGGCCCCCTCCTCCCCATCCTCCCTGTCGCGAACCTCGATGAAGCCATCAAGATCGCAAACGAGCTACACGACACACCACTCGGCACCTACGCCTTTGGCAACAAGGCCGAGCTCGAACAGATCATGAAACAAACACGCAGTGGCGGTGCCTCCCTCAACGACGGCTTCTTCCACGGATCCATTCCCACGATGCCCTTCGGCGGTGTCGGAACAAGTGGCCAGGGCGCATACAGGGGCAAAGCCAGTTTCGACACTTTCACACACCGCAGGAGTGTTACCACAACACCAGCGTGGATTGAGGGTCTCATGGACGTCAGATACCCACCATACACAGCTGCCAAGCAGAAGAAGTTCATCGGCATGAATGACATCAAGCCCAACTTCGATCGCGAGGGCAGGGCTTTTGGATGGGGTTCATGGTTCATGGGATTGCTGGGCGTCAAGAGTTTGGCGGCTATTGTTGGTAAGTGACCTATGGATGTGGTGGCAAGCGTGTTCATCAAGCTAACAAGTACAGCGGCGGTTGCTATCAAGCTATATCTGCAGCGGAGATCGAAGTTGTAGAGGACGAGTAATAGGAGGAAGGGGAATGGAAGTCAGTGTGTGACGTCTGGCAGTATACCTTTGCGATATCCATACATTCTTCATCACCTTTGGAAGACATCTTACATTTCGACACATGCACCCATCTACGTGCTAAACTGTTCCCGCGTTCTCGTCAAACCAAAGAGATTCTGCGTCATTACCAGAACTGTCTCTGAGTGTCTAGAATCCACTAAACACCATCTAAGACATCTCTCCCCCATTGTCTCCAAATCACCAGACACCACCAGTCCAACCAGCAAACCATGAGTCTCACATCCACCAACAAACTTATCAAGCTGAACATCATATATCACGCAGATCGACACACATCACCATCCAGAACGGCCATCACAACACTGACCCCAGATCCTCCATACACGCATCAAACGACCATGACACCTTTCTTCCTCAACACCAAATCCGCCCACTCCACGCGCCGCTCCCTCTCCACCCACGAAAACATCTCCACCACGTCTTCTTACGCAACAAAACCATACCTCACCCGCCTAGTTGAGCCCTCACGCTACTCAACTTACGCCTCTGAAACCCGTAGTCTTAGCCTCCCGTCTTGGTTCACAGCCCGTCCCACGCGCCATGCATACACACCTAGTCACTCTGCGGAAGTAGCGCATAGGAGTCTTGCTTACGAAATGTCACGTTCCAAGGCGTGGGCATATAGTGACTCCCACGCTACATACCAGCCAGTCTCCTACGAGGACCTCCATGCCCGTCGTGTCAAGGCTCGTGAGGCGGAGTACGCGTCTTTGTTGAAGAAGAAGGAGAAGGAAGAGAAGGTGCGTGTCCAACGTAGAGGAGATGAATTACTGTACGTGCGAGACAAAGGGAGGGTGGGTGAGAGTGGGGGGTGGAGACGGACGGAGAGGGAGGTTGAGTGGGTTAGGGGGCGGTGGGCGTGAGATTGACGTTGTGGTTGTAGTTTCCTAGTTATCTAATATGCGTGCGAGATAAACGATCTGAGTGTTTATCAGAGTACGTTTAGCCTCATTATTAGTCCGCATTGAGATGTTTTATGAGGATCTTTTCCACGTGGTAGCCGTGTTGGTGGTGGAGGTGCTGGTGGCCTGAACGCACGTAAGCTCATGCATTCCTGCAGGATTCAGCACACAATGTACCGTCTAAGTGGCGTAAATGGAGGAAAGGATATCGCCCTGCGGCTTCCTGCGATGATCTTTCTCACGGTTAAAAGGCGCAGGGGTGGGTAGGCTGGATAAGGCTGATATCATGTTGCAGGGCGGATGAATTAGATTGTGCAGACAAAAAAGCTCTATTGCGAGATCCTAATGTACAAGTCTCTCAAAGGCGCTGGCTTATGAAGTGAAAAAGGAAGATGGTATAACGCTAGGCACAACAAAGCGATTGCAGAAGTATTCGTACATGAAGCGTAAATGACATGACATGACGAACCGAGACGTAAACTCAATCAGAGAAAAAACACCGCGTACGATGTAGTCTATATCGCAGGAAAGCAAGCCATGCAGCGTAACGCGTGAGAAGAACTAGGTAAACAGGGGTATCCGCCGTAAACAAAAGATGAAACCGTATCCTTCTTGCCCATACAAGCCGAAATGCTACGCTAAGAGGAAAGTGAAGGAAGAGAAGTAAGAAGAGGGGAATATCGTAACGCGACGGAAGCGTATGCAAACGCAAAAAAAAAGCGCAAGATGCAAAAAGTGCAAGCCAAGGAGAAACAAGAAGGAAGGCGAAGAATAAGAGCTCTTACTTCAAATCCCCCAATCCCCCCACCCCTTCTTCAAAATCGTCTCAATAGACCCCACAACCCCCTCCAACAGCTCACCCAGCCCCTCACCCGACGCATCAGCCGCAGCACCGCTCTGATCTTCAAGCGAAACACCACGAAGACGAAGCTTAACCCACAGCAGCAGGCTGATACAACCTGTCTGGCGGCGCGCATGGTCGGCAAGATGTTGGTGTGTGGAAGCCGTGGTATCGGACATGGCGAGGGTGTCAGTGAGGAAAGAAATCGTGTTGATGATGATTTGCGCGTGCGACAAGAGAGGGTTTTCGGGTGTGGCGGAGATGATGGGGGAGTGGGGTTGGCTGGTCGTCGTGGAAGTGGAGGAGGAGGTTGGTGGTGCGGAGGCCCATGTCGTAGGGGAGAATATCGGTGGAGACTCGGAGTTGCTTGGTCGCCGGTTTTGCTGTCTAGCTTTCTGGTGGGCGGCTTTGGTGCGGGTAGTTGCTGCGACGGTGATGGCCCAGAGGACGAGGGCGGCGAAGAAGACGGACATGTCTGTGCCCATTTCTAGGGGGATGCGATCTCTTTGTTCCGAGACGGCTTGTTGGAGGATGTCGATGGAGAGTTTGAGTGCTTCTTTGACGGGCGCGCCTTCCGTCTCGGACGTGGACCAGAGCTGTGCGATCCAGGTGCGGAGTGTGGTCTTCAAGGCTGCGAAAGCTTGGGCGGTAGCGACTTTCTCGGAGAAGATCCATGACTCGCATGCGACAGCCAGCAAGGCGCGAATGGGCGTTACTTGTACAAGCTTTGCTACGGATAGCATGCGCTTGGTGGCAGGTGCATCGTCGAGCAGATGTTCGAGGCTTGAGGTCGTCGATGAGGACATGTATTGTGTTGAGGTCTTGTGGCGACTGTAGTGGACGGCGAGGATGACAGATGATTGGAAGGTATCGAGAGGCCTTGGTAGGGACGTGGAAGTAACCTCGTCGACGTATGATGGCGTGTAAGGATACTGCTGAGCAGCTGCAGCCCATTCGATGGGACTGGTCGCATCCCAGAGAGAACCGTGCGCTGGGAAGGGAATGTCGAAGCGGCTATCGTGAATGAGAGAAGTCAGAGCTTCGCGGGCCAGTAGAATAGGCTGCTGCGACTCAAGGATGTAGCAAGACAAGAACAAGTGCTGCCAAGTAGCTAGCTCGACCCAGCTGGTCCAGTGCTCCGGTGTGACCTGCTCGAGTTGAGCAAGGCTCGCCAATAGCTCTGCTGCTTTCGAAGTCATGCTCCTGCAATCTTCAACCGCCTGGTGTTGTTAGCCGACCGCCGCTGCCTGCAATGACGCTCGACCTACCTTGTGGTATACCTTGTCGAAGCGCGACGACAAGACCTTGGCTGCCCGACGAGCGCGGTACTGAGACAGCACCTCAATGAGAAACATCGCCTGGAAATCGCATAACCGGTCCGGCTCCGTCGAGCCTTTGAGGTCCCTCTGCTACAAGTCAGTTGATGATCGTAAGCCCAAGCATCTAACCTACCCATTCAAGCAATTTCAAGCATCGGTCGTGGAGGTCTCGGCCCTTTTTCTTGTCGCTCGAGTCGGCCGAGTACTGGCTGCCGATAGCGATCATGGCCGCGCGCAGCATCGGTGACGGGTTCAGAGAGGTAGGTCGATGGACAATGGGGAAAGTGGGATGAAAGAGCCTCCAGAAATAGTCAAGATATTGCTCAAACGGTTGGGTGTGTGCGATCGAAGCCATACCATATTGTTCTTCTCCAAAGAGCATCACCCCCTCTTCCTCGTCCCTTTGGACCAGTGTTCTAGGACCGAAGTGTCCGTACCCGGTCATCGCATCCATGCTTGTCGGTATCGACATGTTCGTCATGGGGAAGGAGCATGCGTTCATGTAGGCGAGGTTAGGGGCTGTTGATCCCTTGTCGTTCGAACCCCATGGGTATGCCATCGTTGAGGTGGTCGAGGCCGGCGACCGCGATGGGTATCCCCAGGATGGGTCCATCATGGATGCGTTCGAGGGCGTGCGCGCTCGATAGGACGGGTTGCCAAACACGGAGAAGTCGGTCGATGCGATCGGCGATGCGTACCCACTCGAGGAGGAGTACCCTGGGGTGGGACTGTATGGCTCGTGCCATAGAGCCGGTGTCATAGCTTCCATTGCTACTGACATCGATCCAGACTGGCGGTTGATGTGCGAGCGATGATGTTTTGGTTGGCTAAAAGAGCATTAGCAGCCATCCAAACGGAAGATGAGAGACGAATTGAGAGAAGAAAATAAGTGCTCGATGATGTACAATGAAACTCACTTGGGGCTGGACGTGATATTAGGAGAAGAACGAGGAATGAGACTGGGATTTAACGAAAGACGCTGAGGCGTTCTGGGAGTACGAAACGAGGCGTGATTGTACCTTGTAAATGGCGCCGTCTCCTGCACGGGAGATACGGTCTCGTAAAAGGATGTGCTTGCGGAGTTGGTTGTCATTTCCATCATAGGCTGCTCGAGAGCGGGCAAAGACATGGATGTGGGCTCTGGTGAGCCTTCTGGACTTTGCTCAGGAGAGTCTCTCGCAGGCTCGTTGCTGTTGGAAGTCAGTACGGCTGTCGAGGCCACTCTAGATTCCGCGTACTGTCGCTCCTGATGTCTTTGGAGAAGATCAACACGGACGAAGGTCTTGCCGCATCCAGGGACTTGGCAGATAAGCGCATCTTCCTGGGCGTGGTTTTTCTGGTGTCGCCTGTGTATACTGTCAGTGGTATTCCGGCTTTCCGAGGAAGCCATCTAACCTTAGATGCTCCGCGCGGGTGTAAGACTGATGGTACGTCAGCAAGGTTTCCTGCAAAAGTGGTTGAGATGCATGGCGTTACGTAGATGAGTCTACGTGTGATGAGACGCAATAACATAGTGGCGGACCATGCCCAGCTAGCCACATACATCGTAGGGCTGAAAGAGGTATAGAATCGAAATGACTTACTCTTCCACAGTTCTCGCAGTTATGAACTTTAAGTCCCTTCTTTGCTTTACTGATACGCCCAGTCCTGGTGTAATGGATGTTGTTGTGAGATGACATGTTGGTAGGGCTCAAGCCTGGCTGTTCTTCAGAGCGGGAGGATCCGGTGTGGGGGCCGGACGGCGCTTGTTTGGTAGTTCCAGGACGACGGCGAGGGCTGGCAGCCTTGGATGCTTTGGGTAGATCGTTAGATGACTGTGATGTCTTGCGGTAGTCGACACGAGGTGGTGATTGTTGATGAATGGTGCTGCCTGTAGGTTGCTGTTGCTGGTGTGCGTTCAAGTCCAATGGGAGGCCTCCGGTCTCACTTGGTTCGGACATGACTGAGGGACGAGGCGATGGATGGTATATATCTAAGTTGGAGAACAACGGGGGTCAGAGGCTCAAGTGGGGATGTGGATAATGTGTGCTAAACGTTCCAGATTTGGTGGTACGATAGACGGCTATGAGCTAGTGGTCATGTCTTGGACGAGTCGGTGCTTTCCCACGGGATGATGATAGGCAGCCGGGGGACGGAAGTTTGAATTAAGGAACAGCCGCCAGGGGAGAAGAGTTAACGTGGTGTGTAGTAGACCTAATTGGGAAAGAAAGCCGGACCAAAACAAGGCATTTGCGATGATTGTAGAGTGAATTTGCTGCGCCCGGATAGGTTTGTGGATGGAGAGACTGTAAATATCTGTGGGCTGTGCCTGAGCCAACCCCGAACGAGGAGGGTACTCGAGTATGGGGGTTGGAAAATGACGAGGGTCATAGACGCTGCAAGCCGACATGTCCAGGGTGTAGACATGGAGCTTTCCAGGGTGTCCACCATAGGCAGTGCATTGGCCGATCTTACAGCAAGTCGATGGCTTGAGCCCACGGGCATGGCTGCGGGCGTGCAGGCGAACGGTTCCGTCAGTCACACTGAGCAACAGGGCGTCCGCGCACCAAAATTGGGACATGGCCGGGATGCGAGTGGACAGCCAGAGGGCACCGCTAGGCCAGGCTGCGGACCGTTCCCGCCTCAAACTTCACGCTGGCTGCTAAGAGGAGCGTGGCTTGGGAGAGCCATGAGGGACCCGAAATAGAGACTCGCGTGGAGCATGACCGTGCTCAGCCCTCCTGCAACGGCGCCCATGCTGCTGCTTACACCACGGTGCAGCACCGCACCATGCTGTCATCACAACGACATACGATGTGCCTTGCAGAGAAGCTTGTCGAAGGATGCTGAACAATCGCGGCGTTACAGGCGTCGGGTTTGCGATGCTCGCCCCTGCAGAGCAAGATATGTCCGACAGTTTCGCGGTGCCCTGCGCCCTCATTGGTGGACATGGCATTGTTAGGTGCACTGAGCGGCAGATGTGTAGTCTCGCCTGTCAAAGCCCACCAGCCCTACCAGGGATCCATGCGCCAGACACCTTACAGCACGCAGGACAACTGCAATGTATCTCGTCGCCGAATAACAAGTCGGCGATGGGAAAGACGGCGAGAGCTGTAACACACTCTTCGTGGCCGACCGCCTCGCACCCACCGGCTTGCTGTGTTCATTCGTCCAGGTGCAAATGTCCAAGGCGTAAGCACGGTAAGCAGTCCCTCCGCGAGGACATGAAGCGGCTTCAGATGGTCCCGCAGTCCCTGACCCTCACCCAATCTCCACACGGCAGCCCGCTATGGGCGTAGGGCTACTCGTGAGGCGGGGGGCCTGATGGTTTAGTGCGTCCGCTCGCGCAAAGCTTGGGAACACGTCGACCAAGCTTCCTCAGCCTTCAAGGCACAAGGCAAATGAAAAGGCGCCGGACGACGGCATCCACTTTTGCATTGATTTGCACTGGCTCGCACAGGCATGGGGACCGCTGGGGATTTGATGAGCATCGACGCGCTTTGCTCGGCACACAGGACGACTGCATCACGCACGTCACAGCCTTCACCGGTTTTCAGGGCTCAAGCTCCTGCATTTGCACATCTGAGAATTGCAGCGTAGAACCCCATGCAGACAGCCCCAGCCGGCGGAGCCGCCTTCAGATTGACGATGGCGGTCGCCTTGCACATGGGATAACCAGCTTCTTGCGCGTTTGGGCGCTGGCGAGCCTGATTGTCGGGCCAGGACCGCTGTCTGTTTCATGAGGACTCAGCTCCTCCGCAACCGAGACGATGGTTAGAGGCAGGGATCCTAGTAAGCTGGACCAGGGCAGACGAATCGTGACCCGTGGAGTAGGGTGAGGTGACCAGAGCTGTTAGTTCGTAGCCGGCGCGTATTTCAGGTGCAGTCGACGTGCTCTCACGGCCCATAGACTATGCAATGCTCCATCGGCGGCTCTCGCGACTCCATGAACTACAACCTTGTCTGTTAGTTCGAGCTGTACCATGGCATTTGCTGTTTTGGTTCAAGCGTTGGGCGCGCGGGTCGGGTCTGGCACCACGATCTTTTCGCGAGGCTGCCAGCCGGCAGAGATCGCCTAATAACACCACTTCAGCTTAGCATGGTGGGAAATGAACCGCAACGTCCCGCATGCTATACCTTCGTCCCTTGAGCATGTAAAGCGATGTGAAACTGAAGCGGTGAGAGCTTTACCGAATGTGTGAGGATAATGACATTATCTGCTCAATGGGGGCGTAAGACGCATTATAGCCGGTAATCTTGATGAATAGGGAGCTCAATCCAGCGGCCTCCAGGGCCGTTGCTCGCTTCGGCACGTGTCTGCGTTGGATGCCGTCGAGCTCTTGCAGCTTGGGTCGCGTCGGCTGATGAGCGCGTCTAGGGTGTAGAGAAAATCAAGCGAGATGACTTGACTTGACTTGCAGCTTGCAGATGTGGCCCCTCTCCGCGGCGCTGGTGTTTGTTGACAGGCGACGGCCTACGAGCTTGATAGTTCAATAGCCGTAGGGCTAGACACTCGATTTCGTCCGACAAAGACCTGTGCGTTGAGACATGACCAATCCAGCGCTCTGTAACGTACGAGCGCGCCAGTGATCACCGTTGGCCCGCCCGGAAAGGTTCAAAGCGCGATGGGGATGTTGAGAAATGAGAGGCACGTGCTGGGCAGCCGACTTAGCTTCGTCACAACCATGCGTTTGTTCTCCAAGCAGCAAGGTCCAGGGAGGCTGCATCGCGTGGAGCATCGCGGGTGGGTCACAATGAGACATCCATGGATGGAGGCCGAGAGCACTTTGCCGCGACCCGCTGATGGCGCGATTCAGGCGATTGCTCGGGCTGGACTGGTTCTCCCCTTCCTGAGGTTGTGGAAACACCGAAGTCAGCCCGCCGGTACTTACCATCTGGATAGATCTACGGCGAATGGATTACCCTTTCGGAACACATGGAGATGCCGCACTCAGATCAAGATCATCGCATGATAGAGGTGGTGCTGGTGTCGCGCTCGCCGAAATGACGTACCCAGACAACAGCCTCTTAGGGAGACTCGACTGTCGGCGTCCCCGCAAACAGGTCGCCGGGAGGAAGAGGCAGGAATCACACGGCAGGATAATTCGAGTAGGATCACCTCACGCTGCAGATTATGTCCGTCACAACGGGCATGGCTTGATCGAAGGATGCAATCACAGTCGGGCACGTGCGGGACCCACTCCTGTCGCGAAAGCTATCTGATTCGGTTGGGGAGATGATCCTTCGTCGACTACACCCACCCTCTGTCGCTTACCTGGCATGCATCGGTCAATATTGCGGTATGCAACAGACGCATCTGGGCAGCATCCTCTACTCTCTCACCTCTACCTATACTACCTCATCGTGCGCCAAACCATCACAGCCTCACCGCCGTGGCAGGGCTGTACCTCTGTCTTCCATCTTGCGCGGGGCAGTTGCACCAGATGCAGGCCCAAACGAGACTAGCGTCGTTGCTTCCCGTGCCTAAAAGTAGCTCCACCCACATGTCTGCCTCCGGGCTAATCCTCCATGAGGCTGAACCGACAAAGTCTGCCTCGCCAAAACTGTCATCACCAGCAGCACATCATCGCGACTTCTTCATTATTCGTCGCAATGACGGCATCGTCTTCGCTAGCAATCAACTTTTGAATCCCGATCGCGGTATGCACCGGCCGGAAGAAGGTTTGCAGGCAGCCATGTGCCATCGCAGCCTGGTCTGCTCCCACACGTGCCTGGCTCCGCCATGCCCAGAATACTGAGCATCCACATGCCCTCCGAGTCTGCTGCCTTCTCTTCGACGTGCCTCTCATGTTGCGACACCGGCACCTACGGGATTGTACATCGCACATCATCGCTTTCTGCCTATTGGACGAATGAACAAGCCTTCAGCAAGTCCCCCACCCCCACCCAACCTGTAAGCGCCGCCCAGCAAGCCACCACTCAACCACTGTCTCCCATCTTCCCATCGTGTCTCTTGCCCGGGAGAAAGAGCCTCAGGCAAACCACATGACTCAGCCCTATGAGAAGGTTCGAAACAGAAGGATTGGCTGTGGCGATGCTTTGTGTGCTTGTCAATTTACACATTTCGTTCCTCACAGGCTCAACTCACTAACCCTTTTTGGATTCACGAGCTGCTCGAAGCAATCTCTACTGACATCACTTGCTACATTGCCGCCCTACTACTGCAGCTTACCTCTTTTCGATAAAGAAACAGCTACTTGCAAGCGAGTTTTGATAAATCGCCTGCTGTGACAGCCACTCTGGCTACTTGTTAGTACTGGAACCAACACGACGACATGCTCGAGAACCAATCCCATGGTTATGAGCCGGCGCTTAGAAGTACCTCCGGCCGAAGTGCCGGCCAACAAGACATACTGAAACTCTCAAATGCACTAACAGCGGTCGCAGATGTGGTCGTTGAAATGCGCAGGTCAACGTAATCCCAATACGACCTTGTAAGAGCGGATACCGCGGGGCAAGACATGATAGTATTGACTGATCATTCGGTTCATCGGCTGCATATACGGCTATACAGAGAACTAGGCCTTCCAGACATTACATCGCCCGAGATGAAGTCGCTTATGTCTCTGGAAGGCGTTGCGAACCCGTGTTACAGAGTGAGACAACATACCTCACTGCGTAATTGCTATCAAAGGTCGCAGTAACGGCCATCACATGGTGTGAGTATTGAACGACAAGCCCGCTAATGCATCGCAAGCAATACACTTATGCAGCAACGAGGCGATGCAAAGACGTTTCAGAACCAACACCGTACTACCATCTAGTATGGCCGTCGGTTAGAAGAAGACCTGCGAGACCCATCACCCAACCCCGCGCATACTACGGCTCGAGTCTCTGCGGCGCAGTCAGATAGGCACGGCGAAGCGCGTCAAGACGACAGATTGTAGCTGCGGCGTAGCTATCTGGCCTCAGCCCTCAGGTCCCATCCCATCATCGCATGTCAGGCACAGGCACACGGGCGTAACTGTGCCTCTACGGGAACGTCCGCGACAGTCAGACGCTGCGTTCCGAACCTTCTCACGCTGTGCCTCATGCGAACTGGCCGCCGCTGCCGCTCTTTGTGTCTCATTGAGTGTGTGCCGCAGTGGGAACGACGGTTCCTTCCACACAACGCTGGGCGGGAGGGCGAGCTTTACTGTGCCGCAAGGCCGCAGAGATGCGTGACTGGAAGACATCGATCGCGGTCACCCGGACTCTCCTTCATGACACATCTCATCGGGCGGAGTGAGAACGGACGGCCCTACTCCGGTATCGAGTAGATGAATCTTTTTTCTTGCCACGTTGCCTTGGACTTGACGTAAGAGTTGTGGGCTGTTGGGGTGTGGTGGACAATTTGGAAGATTTTTTGCTTCACGCGCTCAACTCTTATTTTCCGCAGATCGACAAAATTGACGTAGTGGATGCATATCCAGTTCTTGGAATCAGGGCGATCTCATTGAGAGGATCAAGTGTGTTCGACTGCCCTGCCGATTCTAGGAAGCAGTCTCGAGCCGGTGCATCCAGTGTTGAAGTTGAGTACATGGAACTCTCGAGCTTCGAGTATCTCTCTTTTAGCGCGTATCCAATGTGTCGCACCTTGATCATGAACAGACTTCACGATACGTTTTCTCATCACTTCGATGAGCCCTTTCCTATCTTTAGGAAGTAACGCTGGCAGGTGTCGTGTCGTTGAACCTTCACACACGAACAGTGCTGCGCTACATAAATTCGGCATGATGAGTCCGTCCTTCTTACCTCGCACAATTGTTCTTCTGTATCGCATCAAATCTGTTTATCTTTCGCTAAGCATTCGTTGTATTTGATCTCACTATACTCACCACTCCGCGACGTGCCCTTAGCAGAAGCCATGCCACTTACAAGCCCAATCTTCGCGTTGGTAAGTAGCCAAAGAACCAGGTAGTAAAGAGAAACTTGCTAATAGCCTTTAGCTCTTTTTTGCGCTATGTCTCGCGATCCAAGCCAGCCCCGTCCCCGCTACGCCTTCCACGCGATACAAATCCCCATTCTCAGTCCTTCTCCAACGCGAAGGCGACAAAAACGGCAAGGATTTCACAGTCCTAGAAAAGTCGATCTTGTATACTGTCATCTTTCTCAGCCTGACAATACTGTGCCTATGGCTTCTCATAGGCATCATAATTGCGATTGTGCGGAGGAAGAACGACAAGACATTTTGGGGGAACTTCAAGGATGGGATGCAGTTGAAGAAGGATGTGGGTTATTTGTGAGAGAGTATCGCGAATGAGTTTCTACTTGGTGGTGTGGCAAGGAATAGGATTACATGTATTGTAACAAAACCACAAGTGATATTGTACTTTGATTTATACACTAGTCCATCTCCTAGTTCACCTCCTCGTCCATCTCCTCGTTCATCTCCTCATCCACCCGCTCGTTCACCCACTGGTTCACCCGTTCGTTCACGCACTCGTTGACTTCTTCGTCCACCTCGTACACCTCTTCGTCCACCTCTTCATCCATCTCCTCGTCCATCTCCTCGTCCAACTCTTCGTCCATCTCCTCGTCGTCGTCAATGATAGGCTTGCTGCGTCGCAGTGAACAAATCTCTTGACGGCATACAGGGCACTTATTTGCGTACGCGTCAATGCCATTGATCAACATCGTCAAGCATTCATAGTGATACATGTGGCCACCGCTGCAATGCGCACGCATAGGCATTTGCAGAGATAGCCCTTCGACTACAGCGAGCGCGTCACCACATATCGTGCAAACAGCGTCTGGCTCAATCTCACTTGCTACACGTACCGGTGAAGAGCAGATACGCGCAGTTCGTCGCGGACTATCCGGCTCTCTTTCCACGTCCTCCATGAACCAAGGCGCATCCTCCTCCTCCTCCTCCTCGAGCGGCGGGATAGTCAGGTCGCCATAGGAGAAATGGTCCCCACCCTGGTCTTCCCAACCGTGAGGGAGGAAATTAGCAAGCGGCGTCGGATTAGCAGCGAAGAAACCTTGCCATCGGAATGGACTGCGCATGACTTCGGCCACTGCGTTTGCAATATCGAAGTAGCGGAACTGGTTATGGACATCAAGCCTGAAAGCACCCTTTACGCAATGCGCCATCCAGTGATGGAGACGCCAGGCTAATTCCTGCCGTACAGGAGTTGTCTTCGCAATGGCAAACGCTTGGTGCAGCAGTGAACGTGCCAACACTATTACATCAAGGCGCGCCAAATCGCACCTCTCAGCCAGTGGCACCATGCTGAAAGGCTCTGATACGATAGAACGGGTGTACATGACTGAATCCATGTAAAATTCGTGGGCAGTTTCCTGCGTAACCGTGAAGTCACACTTTTGGAGGAAAGCAGCCGCACGCACTGAGAGTTCCGAGAGCACAGCCAGCGTATTTTTTATCTTTTCCGGGTTCACAGTATCAATCTGTTTGCGTATCGCTTCGGTGAAATGTGTCTCCCCATCTCGGTGTATGGCTATCTCTATTTCTTTTTCTTTTTCCTTGGTCTGCACTGCGCATCGTGGCTGCAGTTTTATGATGTATTTCAATAGCTCTTTGAAGCCTCCGTGTCGGATGAGAGTTCTCAGCGTAAAACCTGTCTGCTCGCCAACGTGATAACAATAGCTCTTAGAGGTTGTCACTAGCGTTAGACGGTCGTGTTCCGGTAGGTTGCGGATAAGTTCGGTGGCGACGTCGTAGTGGGAGGGGAATGTTTCAAGGGTGTTGGTATCAGGATGTTGCGTATGGAGCCAGCTACGGAGGTCGTGCCATTCTTCAGGTATGACAGTGGCGTCGAGGAGCGTTACAAAGGCGTCATCAGTGCGGCATTGTAGGGCGTAGTCAACGAACATTTGGTAGGCTTGCAGGACTTTGTAACCTTCCTCTGGGGTCCTTGTGTGAGATTGTAGGATGTTGACGAGGATAGGTAAAGGGGATGGAGGCGTGCTTGTCGCCATGGTCGTGGATCTGTCTTTTGGTGTCGCTTGGGCCGGAGTGAATGACATGGTCTCATGAGGTATGGAGCATATGTAGTCATTGAAATGACATTGTAGATCGAATTGTCAAGCACATTGTCTGAGGGGTTGGTACGCTCACAATGCTATGGGCTCCCAACTACCGTTGTTGGTTTTGAGGTACTGAGCCACGAAGTTGATGAGGATAAGTACATCTGAATCGATTAAAAAAAAATCTACATCGCAGCATACGTTGTCGCATCGGTCGTCACATAGCAAAAGAAGCCCTCCATGTCTTCTGCAACCCCGATGACCTGGATGGCTTGATGCTTCAACGAATGAGCGTAGGTTCCTCGAGGACTGCTGACTGTCAACAGGACCGCGTGTTATGAACCGGCAGCGCAACAGTACATTGTACCTGCAATTTCTCTTATTCGTAAGAGTATTATATTGCCTAGGTAGTTAATGTTGTAGAAGTTGTAAGTGGTTCGTTTTGCTCTGCGTTACCGCAGTACTATAAGATAAAGTGGATAGCAACCAAGAGATAGAATCGCAAGGATAGTTGAGTGGACGTCGACGCCTAGGAGGATGCTAGAAGAAAACAAACAGGTGAGAAATTAATGACCCAGACTAACTTCGCACAGCTTCTGGTGTTTTGCGTGATGTCGCCGGAAGCCATGCTTAGGTCAGTCGTCCGCTGGATCTATTGTTACTTGACAAACCATCGACAAAAGCCGCTCACAACTTTGTCAACAAGATACCTTGTAGAGATCAGCAGGCTGTGTAAGATGATAAGGATCGCAAACCCCAGAATCGAGTCCATATCGACAACCGCGCCTGGACTTAGTGGGTACGACTGCGGACTGGACAACTCTTAGTGACCTTGAGACTAGTACATCGTCTTCGCTACCAACCCAAGCCCTCTGCGTTGGTCCTGTAGTTTTTTCCAAACTCATCGAGGGTGTTGTTTGGAGGTGATGAGGTCCGGAGGGTCTGCGAAGTCAGAATGATACCTAGGTAACACCACCCACGCAGAGGCAGACGAAAGCACAGATGCATTTCGAACGGAACAGTGGAGGTATTTCGTGCTGGCTCCCACCAAAAAGCAAAATTTCCGCAAGCTGCGGCCGTCGCTGAACTTGGGGAGTTCAAGGGACTCTGAAACTACCCGTGAAAAGCTCCGGGTATTAGATTGCCAGGGGCACCCAAGCTCGGGAGATCCCCACGTGAACAACGCGAAGACGTGACGCGCTCAATGATTACCAAAATGTCTCTGCGCAAGCGGTCTGTAATGCGTGCATCAGAGTCAGCTCCCTTAGCTCGACCTGCCGCCTAGGCTCATGTCCTTGTCATGACCAACGTGAGAGTCGTGATTGGTACCTCGGGAGGTGAAAAGATTGCGATTGGTGCTGGCAGGCATGTATCGAGCTCAACATTTCTTTTGCGCAGTGGCTTCGTCCCATATCACTGCGCCATCACGAGCGAAAGCGCCACGTTGTCGCGTTTTGGGGTTAAGGTTGGCGCTAGCGTCGATGATCGTCGTCGGTACGGGGCTCCGCGATAGCGCAGTGACGTCGCCGGTGAGGACCTTTCCCCTTCTGCCACCAGGCAAGCGAAACGGCAGACCACCTAACGCCATCGAGCCAGAACGCGGGATTTCAACTTTCGCATCATTTCCTGGCCAAAATTCGATCGCAACACGAAACGCAGAGCCGCCGATCTCAATCAGCCGGATCGACGCTGTGAATCTAACCGAACCGTATCTCCATGTATCGAGCACTAGAAACCTTGGAAACTGCGGATTTTCCGATCCGATCCTGGTTGCCATCACGGCACATCATGGCACATTGGCGAGTGTGCCGATATTTCCTGCAGCATCCTGACGTCGGTCATATCGCCAGCACACTGTGGACTCTGCAAGTTCACAGCGAACGCCCTGTACAGATAGCATTAGGCTAATCGGCAGTCTGTTCTGCTCCCGATGGGGCCGCACAGGCATCCCGCGATCCCCTGTTTACCACCAGCGTTCGGCGAAGGTGAATACAAATTCTCCGTCGAATAAGAGAGCCGGCGCTATTCTACCTGCCGATTCTGCAAGCTACTGCATAGTGCACCAAGATATGATGTATCTATTACCGTCACCTAACCCCTGCTCTATGTACGGGAGATGTGTCGGCCGCATGAGTTTGCTTCTAGAACTCTATCACATTCGTTCTCAGATTCATTGCAATGGTTCAGAAATTGCGACTGACACGTCTCGACAGCTCCACCCATCCACACTTCTTCGATGACAGGAGACCGCGCTCACCATTGTGGCTTGATCGAACCCAGTGAGTGTTAGCTGCTGAGAGCAAATGATAACGCCTCCTTTATCATCGCGATCACTACCTTGAATCTGGGGAATCGACCTTCGATCCAAGTGAATGACTGGCGCACCGTGTGGATACAAGTGGGTCACTCGAGCTGTGCTGAATACCAAAACCCCATGATCCTGACTCGCTTTCAGACGCTTGGCCGCGGAGCATCACGACTCAGGTGAGTAATGGGTCATCCGAAAACATCTGATTGGGTTGCTGCGCTCTACCTTATCCTTGTGTGGATCTGTAGCGGCGTGGCGTTTTGGCTAAGTCTTCCCCAGTTCTAGCTGGCGATCATGATGACAACCGTACGAAAGTGGAAGCGCGACACACTTCTTCGGCGACTGTTGATGAAGATCATACTCAACGTGGACGGTGCCAACAGATGCCATCCATGTAGGCTTTACCGGAGCGGTGGGGAGGCTTAGAAGCAGCTGCGCGGAGAAGAAGTGTATAAATACTCTTCACCGTGTGTTCTACATCAGTTCTTCAGCCAGAGCCATCACTTGCTCCTTCTCCCCTTTCCTCCTCATACAGACAATCTTGTGTCGCCGACATCATGAGGTTCACTCAATCAGTTACTCTGGCATTGCCAGCCCTCGCTGCCGCCTACCCCGGCATGATGGGCGCGAACTCCCGCCCAGAGATGGAGGAGTTCCTCCGTGGGGAGATCAAGCGTGAACAACTCGCGAACCGCGCCGCTGAACCCCAGCTGCTCAACCCAGTCGGAAACCTCTTGGGCTCGCTCGGCGGCGTTGTTGATGGGCTCCTGTCCTCAGTCGGACAAGCTATCGTCAAGAAGAGCAACCTGCGTCCTGAGCCTGGCTACGAGTTCAAGGCACCTGGTCCCAACGACTCTCGTGGCCCCTGCCCAGGTCTGAACCTGCTCGCCAATCATGGTTATCTCCCCCGCGACGGCTACGTCACCTACGGACAGGTTTTGGAGGCCACTGGGCGTGGATTCAACATGGGCGTAGAACTTGCCACAGTTCTAGCCACGTTCGCTGTCTTGGGCAGTGGAGATCTGGATGGCTTGTCCTTCTATCTCGGCTCAGGAAAGAACGGAATTGGTGGTCTCAACAGGCACTCTGTTGTCGAAGCTGATGTTTCACCCAACCGCGAAGGTATGTTCTCTGACTCTCCTAAGCGGAACCCCAACACTAATATTGAGACAGATTACTACATGGGATGCGGCGACAACCATCATCTCTCCTCCCGTCTGGTGAAGCAGATGGTCGGGTATGCTGCCCAAGACCCCAAGAAGGAGTTCTCCATGGACGTCATGGCCAAGCACTACGCTAAGTCAGCCGGCTTCTCCAAGGACAACAACCCCTTCCTCTACTACTTCCCCTTCCCTCAGATCGTCTCGGTCGCCGCCTTCTCCTTCTACCCCCAGTTCTTCTCCAACGGTACCTACGGTGCGGGTGGTGTGCCCAACTACAAGAGCATCATGAGCATCATCGGTGCCGAGTATGATGAGAAGACCCAGGAGTTCAAGTACGTTCCCGAGCGCTGGCCCGAGAACTGGTACCGCCGTGACACCCAGTACGGGGCAGTCCAGGCTCTCTCCGACGGCTTCCTCCAGATCTACCCCCGCAACATCATCGTTCCTGGCGTCGCTCAGGTCGGCACCGGCAAGTTGACTGTCCAGACCGTGCTCTGCGATGTCTACCAAGGTCTCAACTCCATCACTCCGCTTGCGCTTGGCGGTACCGAGGAGAACGTCGCCAAGGGTGTCTCGTGGGCTCTTTCCGTCCTCGACCCCATTCTCAGCAAGACTGCGCTCGGATGCCCCGACAACGTCATTTCACCCAACTTCCTCTTCCCCCACTCTCAGCAGGAAGGTGGCCCTGTCAACCCCCCGAAGGTCCCGTCCGATGCTTGGACTGGCGACAACGTCTACAACAAGGTGTACTTTGGTGGAAAGAATGCTCCCACCAACCCCACGTGCAGCCACTCTAGTTAGATAGCTCTTGGTTGGAACGAGAAAAACTTGTAATAATTAGCGATATCCCAAATTATGACGCCTCTCCTTTACAGAGCACACTAGACACTAATAAAACGATCTTCATACAATTCATTTTTGACCTGTTGCTTGTGAATGACCTTCGATTCGACTATACCATTACCATAGCAATTCGTTAAACACTTCACTTTCTTTCTAGCGATTAGCACACGGGCTCTTCACCACAAAGTACTGAAGTAGTGCGATGATTCTCGTTACTTCAGGTCGCGACTATTGTCAACGCTTTGTACATTCCATTCATTGCTGGAATTTGGGTTTGTGAAATCGTAAGTTTTTATAAAGGCGTTGTGAGCTGACTGATATTTCCACCATCAGTAGACACACAGGAAGTTACAGTACCGATCTACAAGTACACGTGTCTTCAACTCACTTTACTATTATCATGGACAGTCTACCAGAACCAGAAAACCAGCTGCCCACTCCCTTAACGTACCTGCACACTCTCCTCACTGCAGCGGAGGACACACATGAAGCTCGCAGTAAAGTCGTCGCCGCATACGACACCATGTTGTTATATGCACTCGCTTACCCAAGGAAACGGGCCCTGGCTCTGAACCTATGGACGGCGAATCTAGGGGCGCTTGCTTCCACGCCCTCTGGAGATTTCGGACAAGCATGGCAGGAGCTAATGGAGCGGCGTGAGGAGCTGATCGACTACATGGACAGAGAGCAGATGGACAGAGGGCAAAACGCAGTGTTCATGGATGTACGCGTCGATGACTACACTCAGCTGTGGTTGAGGATGCTGCAATTAGGCTACGACGGGCAATACGCTGCTTTCCTGACCCAGTTGATAGAGGAACAACCCCATTACTTCGACCGGCCGAGCGGCATTGACAACTTTGTGCAACAGCGATCGCATCCAGAGGACTTTCCATATTTGGGCGACTTACTGTTGATCCCTGCACCGGCCAATGGACACAACAAGACGGCAGAGTCTGTCCTTAATCTCTTAGTCCACCACATCGCATACATTTGCGACCTTTTCGAGAAGACAGATTACGCACCCAGTCCAGCGTTGGTGGAGGCTTTTGCAGAGTATCGCATCGATCAGCTGTCGCAGATGTTTAGCGATCCGGGCAATTACATGCCGTTGGACGCGCGGATTCATTCCGCTAACATAAACCATCGTACCATCCACGACTTTGTCGTCTTGCGAGCGAGGGAAATCCTGCAAAGTACAGAGACAGAGCTTCTCAACTGGCACATGTACAAGTGGCTTGTGCGATGTGTGGAAAGCGTCTTCAAGGATGTGCCTCGAACCACAATCCTTTTCGATGACCTCAGTCTTGGCGTGGGAAGCGTCGAACAGAGAAACTACATCCCGTTTCAGACCGCAAATTTACGTGTTCCTGATCGCATTATACAGGCATGGCAAGAGGATGAGCGTGCCGAGTTCGAGCCTGCTTCATTCGAAGACGTAAAGTGGGAAGCGGCCGGTCCACGTATTCAAGTCAGGAGCGTGGCTAGCCCTGTCCAGCTTGGTCCTGAAGCCATCTGTCCAGTCGATCTGGAACCTTTTGATGTCCGCAGCGCAGCAACGGTGGCTTGGGAGGTCGAGTGCGGCCATGCGTTCCATGCGCAGTGCTTAGAGGATCTGGTCAACGGTATCGAGAAGAACAGCAATCGCTGTCCGCTGTGTAGAGCGGAGATCTGTGATGCGAGAGAGCGTCGTCGGATTGAGTAGATCCTGCAGCCTACATCATTATACAAAGATGAGATGGGCGAAGGAGAAGCCGGTTAGAATAGGTGGCAGGAACCCAAGCGATAGCGCTAGCCCCGCCCCGGACTTCATTACACAGCGGTCGCGCGTTGTGCTATAAAGTCATCAGCAGCAAGCATTACAGAGTAAGCTTGTACATTGAGGACGCGTAGAATGCGAATCTAGATCAACATCAATCTACATAGAAGGCAATAAGACTGTGAATAGCTGAACGAGGGATGAGTGATTCCCCGGGTAGACGCGGCATCGCCGAATCGAGACTAGTCCCAAGACCGCGCACGTGCGCACGCGTGACGCGTCATCCATGGATGGAAAGTCTTCAAATCGACCTACGCGTAATCCTACAAATCACATCACTCTGAAGCACAAACGTCGCATTATGCGTCTTCCAAGGCCCACCATGCGCCATCTCCACTGTAAACCTCCTCAGTATCTCCGGCACCACCTTATACATCTCCGCATTCGAAAGCTGAGTACAGCACCATCATCAGTAAAACGCGACAACAAAGTAAACCCCAGTTGACGGCACTTACATGCTTCCCAATGCAAGTTCTAGTACCCGTGCCAAACACCAGCATAGTTTTCTGCATGGCTCTGTACTGTGCGTCGTCGACGAGCCATCGCTCAGGCCGGAACTCACACGCGTCTTCGCCAAAGACGGATTCGTCGAATTGCGTGACCATGGCATTCATACCGATCTTGAAGCCAGCAGGGATGTGATGACTGAAGAGATGCAGACCACCGTTCGGCACGTACCGCGGCATGGGCACGCCAAACGGCGGGAAGAGTCTTAGCGACTCTTGGATGACGGCCATGAGGTAGGGTAGCTTGGTGGCTTGGTTGTATTGTACAGGACTAGTGAGCGTGCTGTTTTGAAAGGCAGCGTCGATCTCCTGGGTTAGTATCTCCATCTTTGGGGGATGTTTCATGAGGAAGTAGAAGATTGCGCGGAGAGCACCGGAGGTACTGTCTGAGCCGGCGATACTAACCATGTATTAGCAAAAAAGCGTTCATGGTGTCCACACAGCTGGTGCTTACACAGCCGCCCACATCTCAACATGAATCTTCTCGATGGACAGACTGTCTCCCTTTTCCCTCATAATTCCTAATAACTGCGACAGAACATCCGTGCGATACGCGTTCGCTTCCGCCCTTTTCCCCTGCGCAACACCAGTTTCTCGAATAGCAGTCTGCCCGATACCATCCACAGCCATGATGGCTTTGAAGACTTTTGGAATCATGACGCCGATCTGGAGGAGGTACCCGCGGCACCACTGAGGCGCCATCGCGATGACGGAACTCATCGGCATGGCGGTGTGTACAGCGGCGATGTAGTTCCCATAGTCTGAACTCGTTTCCAGGAAGCCGAAGGGCTGGCCGAAGAATACGGCGCCTACGCTGTCGAAGGAGAACCTGAACGTGCAGGTCAGTAGGTATGTTGTTGCGACGAGGACGTGTGACCTGGCGCACTCACATCTCCAGCCACAACCCAAAGTCAACATCTTCCTCACGGTCTGCGAATCCACCGAGCCTTTTCCCAAACAACATCATCAATTCGTCCAAGGCCCGCTCGTTCTTCAATATGCTGCTTAGTGTGTACACAGAGCCGACGGTCCGTCGGTGAGCTGCATGATGTTTCTCATTGTCATCTGTGAATAAGTCGGGGCTGGGCCCAAGGTTCACCGCTCTATATGTGAGGTACCAATCGGTCTTTTCAAGTGGCTGCTGCGTAGGGTATATGGTTGGAATAGCACTTGGGTCGCTGACGGCCACTTCGTCCGGGGCTGTGCGCACGATTGGGCCGTATTCTAGCACGTCAGACGCTATTAGCATGGGTTCGCAAGTGCCCAGAACTTGATGTTGTTCCGATGCAAGCATCTCTTTGCAAAACACTCTTCAACTCGCAACGATGGGAACACTGACTATAACACGTCAGCTGTCACCCATCGACCGAGAACATGAAATTCGAACCTTTTATGCATTGCGCGCATATGCACTTCCAAATCACCCTGATACATGCGATACATGAGCCATGTGCGCGATATCGCAGGCCAGATAGGACCTGGTACTTTCGCAAGCGAGTGAAGCGTTCGCGCATACGGAAGCCAGCCTATGCAGTAAAAAATGGGGATATAAACGAAGAAGACGACTAGGGAGTTCCAAAGGTCAAGATTTTGGAACAGCGCCATGGTTTAGGACGATGGTCTTGGTGTGAAGAATGCAGAATGCAATGAGCTTATAGACTCGTCGATCCAGTGTCAGCATCATGAGGGGTAGTTACACAGCTGGCCGTTGTTCGCGTAATCGTTCCCAGGCCTGCAAGTCAATATACAACCTGTGATAAGCGACTAGTGCGCTAATGCAGTCAGCGTTGAACGTGTAGGTCATTGAAGAACGAGTGGTCAGAGCTTTGGAGATGTTGCTCAGATTAGCCTTAATCGCTTACTTGATAGCACTTGGCCAGCGATCAACACTGAACAAGGCAAGATGTTGCGAGGTCTCTCAGTTGTTCGGATACTGAGCTTGCACTCGTGATATGGTATTACTTCTGACCCAATAACCTTTACCTCACCCGAAGCTCGCATACCCCTCAGTCAAGGTTGCACTGTTTGGGCCCTCCGGATCCATACCAGCGACAATCCCCCTCATCCGCACGAGCAACTCTGCAACCCTGAAAGGCTTACCAACAACATCGTCCATTCCCGCAGCCATCGCTTGCTCGATCTGCTGTTGACGCACATTGGCCGTAACCCCGATGATTGGCACTCGTTCCTTCAACAAGCCCTGTTGCTCAAGCTTCCGTATCTCGGCAACGGCCGTGAGTCCGTTCATGATGGGCATCTCCCAGTCCATGAGGATGAGGCTGAGTTCAATGGGCAGTTCGCCATTATGGAGGGCCTCTCGCGCGATCGCGTCGCCAGTAGCTTGATCGTGTTTCCACAGACTGGTCTTTGGTAGGAAGTCAAGGGCTTCTTGACCGTGGTTGGCGACGCTCACGACACATCCTAGATTGCGCAGTTGTTTGGCGAGAACGCGTTGGTTGATGAGATTGTCTTCCACCACGAGAACGTGCAGCGTATCTGGTATACTCTTTGTACGCTTCAATTCTTGCAGATCGGGGCCCTCTGGCAGTCCTAGCGCTTCCGGTCGCACGTGAGAGTGTTCGGTCTGCGAGGATTTTGATTGCACCGACGGGCGGCGTGCTTTTGGACTGGCAGAGTCTGATCTTTGACCTTGCTCGCCTGTGGATATGCGCACGGGAGGAGACGGACGCGTTAGGCTTACCAGCGGTATCGGGCGTCTGTGCTTGATCTCTTCTGGGAAAACATGCGGAAGACTGCCTTTTCGAGCTACGATAGGTCTCGCCCGCCGTGATTTGATGTAGAAGGCAAACGTACTGCCCCTCCCAGACTCACTCGCGACGCCGATTGATCCGCCTTGTAACTCGGTGAGACGTCTAGATATGAATAACCCAAGGCCAGAGCCACCGTAGTGTATGTGCGTCCGAGGTGAGGCTTGTGAAAAGCGGGTGAAGAGATTGCATTTTTCTTCGTCGGAAAGTCCACGGCCCGTATCAGTGACGGCAAATTGAATGTAGAATAACTCTTGAGCTTTCTTCCAATCCTCTTCCAAGTGGGGGTCTTGTCCAACCAGCCTCTCCTCGTTATACTGTATTCCATGTAGCGTTGAGACGGGTTCGGCGCTACTGGCGGCCAGAGTCACTGTTACACGCTTGGTGGACTCCAAGCGGGTGAACTTAATGGCATTGGTGAGGAGGTTGATGAGAATCTGCAGCACCCTTGTTGGATCCAAAGATGCCCAGTCGATCTCCATGTTGCGATAGGATTGATCCACGTTCAACACGAGGTTGATACCTGCTGCTCTTGCTTCTGCGTCGAACATCTTCACTGCATGCATGACCACCTGTCAGATTATGAAGTTAGTCTGTGTAACATACGTGTCATCAAATTAGAGGTCTTACACTCTCGGGTTGCGCAATGACCGGTGTCATGTCCAAGAGACCCGAATCGAGTTTGGAGATGGTGAGGATATCGTCGACTATGTGCTTCATGTGCGATGCGCAAACTCCTATCGTCTGGGCAGCGTCTAGGGTAGACTCGATGAAAGCCGTCCACTCGTTTGGTGTCGTGTTTTGGCGCTCTTGGTAATCTTCTTGGGGATAGGAAGACGTGATCGAATCCGCGCATTGCATGATGGCGCTGAGAGGGTTTCGCATCTCATGACTCGTCGTGTCCAGAAAGTGTTCTAAGTGTTGCTTGCCTTGCAGTGCGCTGTCCATGCGTATCTTTTGAATGCCTTCAGCCCACTTCTGCTCTAAAATGGGCGCGGGTGGTCAGTGCATCTATCATGGGTCATCGTACTTAAAGATGCTTACTGGATATATCTGTAACATTCCCGACGACCTCAACAAGATCGCCGTTCGGACCCAACTCGGGGAAGGCTGAACACAAAATCCACTTGTAGTGCTGGGTATCCTCGGTCTGCGGCTCATCTGACTGTGACGGCGGCGTCCAGGGCATCCGCGTACGCAGCTCAAAGATAACAGATTCGTGATTCATGATTAGTTTTGCGAACATGGATTGGCAGTAAGAGATGTCCTCTTCGAACGCGATTTTATGCCATGCCACGGTGGCGTTGTCATCAGAGGATGCGATCTCAAATATATCATGCCATCGTTGATTACGGTAAGTGTACGTTCCTGCCGGATCAATAATAAAGATGCCTACGTCGGATCGTTCCGCGAAGCGCTGAAACTTGCTTTCTTTGAGTTGTATTTCCGCCATCAGATGTTCTTGGATCTGAGCAGCCTGGATGATGGCGTTTTCTCTTTGTCGGACTTCGTCTTCAAAAAGAACGATGGAAGCAAGAGACGTAGCCAGCAACCGCACCATGACATGCAGGTATTGCTGGTACTCTTCGTCGAAGGGGCGGCGCGGATTTATGCCAATTATGAGGAAGCCTTCTACCTGATTTCCCGTGGTGGGTATTATTGGACAGATGACTAAGGTTCGACAAGGGTCACCATATCCTTTCCAGTCGATGCCTTGCAAGGCCCTTGTTGGATCGGGAAGGTCCTCAACGTGAACAACGGTCGCTTTCCCGGACTTGGCGGCGCGACTTAGGAACGGCTGGAGGATGTAAGAGTCTTCGTTGATATTGATGGTCGCGGGGGCGATGGAATGGTCAGCGGAAACGCCAATGGTACCCTTGAGAACGCAGCCTTCTAACGGAGGAATGCTACCGGGTGATGATACTGAAGGTATTTGAGCGCTAACATGCCGCTCGGCAGCATACAACAACGCAAATGGCACATCCTTATCGTTCAAGCTCAGTGAGCGCAATGTAGTCTCCCAAAATGACGGGAAATCTCTGGCATTCGCACTCTGGGTTCCCATTGCGACCAGACTAGAGACGCGGCGCTCGAGGATACGGTGGTTGGAAACTTCGTAGAAGGACTGGTAGTAGGCTGCCACTTGGCCGTCGGTGTTCAATATCGGGACGAATTGAAAAGACCAGTGTGTCTCTTCAAGGATCTTGTCTCTGTCAATGAATAGAAGCATGTCAGGCTCGGCTATTGATTCGCCAGTTGACTTGATGTAGTCTACCAGAGGTTGAAACGAGACCCAGTGATCAGGCGCCGTGACGCGGACACTTTCGCCCATGCAAGGATGGAGGCTGCCAAGGAGTTGGACATATGGTTCGTTGTACAACATGATGACATCGTCGCCCCAGAACATAACGGCTGGCACATTGTTACTGAGTACTGTGTTCGCTACGCAACGCAGATCACTAGGCCATGAACTCATTGGACCCAGGGGTGTATTTGCCCAATCCACACTGCGGAAGTACTCGATGTGCGGGCTCGTAGAAGTGCGTACATCAGATGTACAATCGAAGGACGCGTGCGGTGCTGCGCTTCGGTCTGCAGAAGAGCTGGTGTCGGCCTCGGGTGTTTGCGGTATCTGAGCAAGCGACAGCTGGGGCTTGATGGGTAGTGCATCCGCGCGATGCTTGCTCCCAGGCCAAGGTGTTTTCCGCTCGCGTCGGAGGGTGCGGTGGCTCTTTCCTCCCGGGGCGGCGTCGACCCACAGCAGTCGCGTTGGCACTCCGCTGACAATCTTGTAGCGCCCCACACTTGTCGCATTCCATACGTGCCCTTCGAATGTGTATGCATTGCCGTGTTGTTGCAGGTCCTCCTCAATCCCTTGCCCACGAATCCAATTCCGAAAGGCAAGTTGTGGTCCCGAGCTCTGCGCGAACAAGCTAGTCGACTCGTCGCCTGTGATCTTGGTCATAAGCCCGCCAACGGTCTGAAGCGCCGTGTTCGCATACACGAGTTCTATGGTGTGGGCTTCATCGTGGCCTAGGGACGAGCGTGTTTCGACGGCGAAGGTAGGGCGGTCGTCGCGGTCGAGGGCTTCGAGAAGCGTGAAGTCTGCCAGCTCTCGCTCTGCTGGCTTCAGCTTGGGCCGTGAGGTATCGAATGGTGGTGGTGAGCCATAGCCGGTCGTCCCGTAGTAGCTGCGATGCGCGAGTAGTTGCCCGTTCGAGGCCATTTCATCCGGCGCAAAGACGAGTAGCGGATGTCGACAAAACACACGACCGCCGCATTGAACAGACGCCGGAGCAGTGCTTTGCGCAAAAGGTGATTACTTTTGCCTTCCGTTGCTATCTGGTGAGCTAGTGCAGCTATTGGTCTGGCCGCTGCGTCTCTAGCTACCTAGGTATGATGACTGAAGCGTCTCGGTCCGCTAGCTGGCGGCTGCACGCCCTCGCCGAGATCTTCAACATGGCGTCATCGTGATTTAGAGTTGTTGACGAGCTTCTTCATCATGAGCACTCGTTGGGTGTGTGCTCGCCGAGAGTTTGACGGTCGTGTTACTATCAGTTCACCTCGCTCCAGATTTCGGCGTTGCTGCCCTGCGGCGATCATGCCCTTGCTGCCGTGTCATTGCGCTAACCCGCAAAAATACTATTGCACCCAGTCACATGACGCCAAGCCGACCCCGCCGTGCCATCCGTTTACTCAACACTTCGCCTGCATGGACCTTCACTTGACGGAGTCGCCTCATCATTCTTACATTAATACTCTAGCTTGCGATAGCATATGATGCACAAAATACTTGTCAACACCAGCGTCTACATGCGACGTCCTACTCAAGGGATTCCACAATCTCCACCCTCTGTGAGCTATGAAGCTTCATCTCGAACCTCATTGTCCAGCACTGCGGTATAGTCGCGGGCCCTACATATACCTCTCCGACATGCCGGACATCTGATCTCAGGAACTCCGGGATACACCCCGTTCACCAATTCATCCAAGCATCCACGATGTAGTAGATGCGCACAAGCCTTTAGCTGCACGCACACGCTATCAACGTCCGCGTAATCTTCAAGGCATATTGGGCAGCGCTCGGTTACTTCTGGCGTGCTCACCACATCACACAGCCCGTCGGGATCAATGCGCGGTCCGGTCGGCTCTAATGGAACGTCCGCACCAGGGCCATCGTCGAGATAGCGATTCACGTGGGCTTCGAGCTGTTCGGTAACCACGTCGCCCATACCTGCAGGGCGTGTCCAGGAATGTCTACAATCGCTTCTAGTCCCCTCTGGTGCACCTACCATGTGCAGCTTCAGCAGGTTTGCACGTATGGTGCCATTTGGATCTGCTTTCAAATGATCGACCTCGGCCAAGGCCCAATGGAGGAAGTAAATGTACGCGGATGCATGCAAGAGCTCCGGTGGGACAGCATGGTAGAGGGCATGTAGAGGGCACATTCCGACGTACTCGATGTTACCCCTGGTATTGAGCTTCGCCAAGGCCTCACGCACAGGCTTGGGGATGTCTGAGAAGGGATTTCGCAGCACTAACTTCGAGGACCGATTTAGCACGTCATAACCTTCTTGCAGCACGCTCGCGGTCTCTTCGTCGGGATATCGATCACTAAGGCCCAGTCGATGATCGACGAGGTGAACGTCGATGGTGTTCAGTAAGAGCCAGAGAAAGTGCTTGATGACATGCTCGATGTTTTCCGCGGCGTACCCATCTTGGATGCGTATCTCGTCCTCGAGAAACCATGTCAGACCGGGCCACATAACGGTGTCTTCTTCTTCGACTGCCTCCTTCTGCAATTCAAACGTGGAGCTACGATGGACTGGTGATTGCTCGTATTTGGGCCACCAAGTCGTCCACTCGTAGTACTTCCACAGCTCAGGCCCCAAGGTCCCGTCGACGTCCGCCTCGGGATGCGTCGCACAGCTTATAATAAACCAGAGGCGGTCGTCCCGGTCCTTCTTCTTATCCTCGTGACCATCTTCCGCATTGACCAATTCGCGCACGCACATATCGAAGAAGTCTTCAATCGGAACTTGAAGTAGTTGGCGTCTTATTCCGCTAGGAGCAGTGCCGAAGTGTACATCATTGAAATAAAAATCTTTTAGATCGGTGTGGGCTTGAGGGTGAATCTCCCCGGTTTCGGTGAGTCGAATTTTCGAAGCGTCATGTGCGACCATAGCTATAGGCCGCAGGATATGCGTGTGAACGCCTATGAAGTCTTTGACATGCGGTTTGAGCAGGGCTGTTAGCCAGGGTAGAGGGGCGGGTTGCATGCCGCCGCGTGTAATTGGGGTAGGGGTAGGCGTCGTCATCGTCGATCGTATCGGCGTCGAGTTGTGGCTGGGTGGACTTCGATACACTGCGTGGTAAAGTGAGTTTAGTACCAAGGCCTTCGGGAGAAAAGTGAGATGTAGTGATACGGTCAGGCAAGAGCATTGTGTGAAGTACCTGGTGAATCTTTGATGGTTATACAGTGAGCAGACAGTCACTTCATAGTTCTCACAGCTTTCATGAGTGGAGCTGCACCTGTCGCTGGTAATGAATTGGCAAGATGCACTCATGAGGTTGCAACCGTTGCTAAGTAATGATGAATCCATCTTGTTACTTTGCATCGCACTACCAGACTTCTCGTACACCGTTTCGCAACTCCAGTGTCGCCGGATATCAACGATTTTAAAAGCTGAGCCAACCGCTACTCATATAACCATCCCACTGCGTCAATTTGCCTGCCGTGATGCCATAGGTTAGATCCCCGCCAAAAGAATATGACTTTAAGTGATGCTGCTGTAGGTTTAAACAATGATTAAACTCTCGTGTTGGAACAAAGACGTAAAGACGGTTCGCGGTGTTTGTCTTCCAGTATCGTGAGTGGAATGGGTGGTTCGCGCAACCTTCACCACTTCACCAAAGGGAAAAGATCAGTCCAATTACACAAGCACAACCAGGCATACCTACCCTTCACCCAGATCAGCGTCTCTTACCACATATCGGAAAGCCAACTCAGTCATTAGCAAAAGCAAAAAGCAAAAAAAAACTCAAATCCCCCAAAATGCTCAAACCTCAATTTCTGCCTTAACGACGACCAAGAGAAGAGCAAAAAAGATGTGTTGTGACCTAACCAGGGGTCGCTTTTTTGGGCGTCAGCGGTGCTATTTCGAACGTGTGACTCTTGGTGAGTCGTGTGGAGTGAATACTTACAACCTGGAATCTCTTGATATCGAACTGAGTCGTAGTCAAGCGCCTTGCCATTGGGCCATTAGGCCAGTTGTACTGATTGATGAAGGTCTGAGAAAAAGTATAATACTAGTACTTGGTTATACTGGCTGTTGCTGTCGGTCAGTACTCGCACGAATTTATCTGCTTGCTGGGGTGGGTGGTCGTAGTGTAGCGTGAAAGAGTTTGCGCTTGTGGTGGGGTTTCGGAAGGCTTCGGCGGGGTGGGGCACGGCAAACTTCCCAACTCGCAAAAAGACGCGTTCAATTTGAACAGGAACACGAAGGTGACGCGACACAGAACAAGGACATGCATGATCGTTGTATTTACATTCAATATGTCGCATCTAGTCTATCGACATTTACCCATGAGGCTGCTCACAAGTCAACGCTTAAGCCCTCGCTGCGGGCTGTGTAAGAGTGCTTCCGCCGTCAGGGTACAAGACCTGCTCGTTGAAGAAGACACCACCTGGGCCAGCCAGCAGGAGTACAGTCGCAGCCATATCAGTGTCGGCGCCAGGGCGACCAGCGGGGTTGCTCATGCCGGACTCGATACGGCTCTTGTTATCTTCGTCGGAAGTACCAGTGGTCATCTACATCGTGTTAGCTCGACCTTTACAAATGTGCTTCTGGAATATCAGAGGTACATACCTCACTTGGGAAAACACCAGGCGCGATAGTGTTGACGCGGACCTTAGTGCCCGCAAACGTTGTCGCCAACATGCGGCTCAGATGTGTAGCCGCCGCCTTGCTCGAGGCGTAAGAGAACTGGCCACTGCTGCTTCCCTTCATGTATCCTGAGATGCTGCTAACATTGATGACTTGCGAGCTGTATCCGGGAGTGACCTTGCCGCCCTTAGCCAATAGAGGCAGGAAGTACATTGACATCCAGAAGATGCTTCCGACGTTGGTCTTCATGGTGTCGGCCCAGTTCTCAGGCTGCGACTTGAGGAAATGGTCGGAGATGGCTTGGGCGTCTTCCATGTTTGGCTGGCCGTTTGCGGAGAACTTGGTGTTGTCGTCCCGCGCGATACCGGCGTTGTTCACGAGGATTTGGATGCCCTTTGGCTCTTTTTGGCACATCTCTTCGTAGAGGCGCTTTACGTCGTCCTTCTCGCTGGGTAGTGTTAGTGTTGATACTCATGATGGTATCGAATAAGAGTTTGCTTACCTGACATCTGCCTGGATGGGAATGATCTTGCCTGGACCGCCACCGCTGTACAGCTCCTCCGTCTTCTTCAGTACCTCGTCACGTCTTGATGTGATGTAGACCTTCGCGCCGTTTGCGACTAGTGCTTGTGTGATCATCAAACCGATACCCGTTCCTCCACCAGTGACCAGAGCGGTGACATGAGAAACATCAAAGAGCTTGGAGCCCTTGAGCTCATCGGTGCTAGCCTTGCCGCCACTCATGTTTCTGACGACTTGGTATGTAGTTCTTGGGAGAAATTGATTTGTTCGTACTGTTGATGCGATAGATCTGGTAGCTGTGGGAAGGTTTCTTGAGAAGAGTCGGAGCATGTTGGGATATGCTTGTAGTGGTTGCGACCTTTATGGGGTTTAAAGGTGGAGGAACGATGTCACAGTTGAATGCAAACATGATGACGTTGAGACGACGCATGAGTGCTTGTAGAGGGGGTCCAATGCATTAGGCACTGGCGCGACGCGTCGATGCATGCTAAGAGCGCATACAATCATCGAATTCTGCATTCCCCATAGTAGAAGCGCACGCCACCAACATGTAGCATGCCTTAGCATCGGTCGATGCTGGTGAAGACGGCAATCACGGCTAGAAGCGAGTTGAAGACCGATGCCGCTAGACATGCAACAGTTAGACACGGGCCTGGATGCGCAACGATATATCGTAGATGCATTTATTGTGGTGTTGTCCTGTCTACATAAGCTCATTGCTTCAGCGCTGTCTAAGTCGAATCGTTAGTAGTCACAAACGCTTCGGTTCGTCGCTTGTGATGGCTTCGCGGATGCAGTCATGCAATATCTTCCATGTATGGTCATGTTTGGACAGCTAATAACGAATAGACGCCAAGGCGATATTGACATCGTGAGTACCATGGAGAGCTGAACTCGCGAAGTGTGATGGTGTTAAGCTGCCCGCGGGCGTGACGCGACGCCTCAGCACCAGGTATGACGCAATCGACCCTCCGAATTATCTCCGCACCATCTCCGGGCAGCTGCTCACCCTTAACGAACGCTGGCTTAGAAACCACACGAACTGTTACAAACCACCATGCCAACGACTAACGTAGCGTACACACCCTGTCGAATAGCTACACCCAGCACGCAATTCGCGCACTTTGTCAGCATGTTCACAGTCATTGGACAACGGGCATTAGTAACACAGGCTTGGCCTCGGGAATAGAGCTATGGCATCATCGCCACAGAGATGCCGAATGAGGGGAAGCCCCGGCGGATGAAGGGCGACTTGACGGCGCAATGGTAGGAATCATTTCTAATCGCATAGACGTATATAACAGCATCGAAGCTGTCCTTGATCATATCCTATATCCAAACAACTTACCACACAGCCACTGATCCAGCAACTACCATCACCACCCTCGATCTAGTCTTCGCAAACCTTCGATTATACAATCCTGATTTCCATTGCGAACAAATCCAGCACAATAGTCACAAACATGACGACCACCGCCTCCCTTCCTACACCCGCACACCAACTCTCCAACTCTGCGCCCACCACCAGCGACACAACCTCTTCCGACGTCAACTATCAAAGCCTGCCCATCCCTCGCGGCCCCGTCACAGCATCGCTGTCCTTCTACAAAGCCCCCGAAGACGGTTCACCACCACACAACTACGTCGAGCCGCTTCCAGGCGTGCCGCAACGGAATTGGGGCGACGACTGGACCAAAGTCCAACTCAACGACCTACGAGGTCAGGAGCAGAACTTCACACTAGACAACAACGCCTTCGACACATATCAGAACATCAAGAGTGGGTTGGATAGAGATGGCTTCTCCGACGATGACGCGGTAAAACGCGTATACTACCCAGAAGTCGAGCAACTGCTCATGAAGAATGTACAAGGCGCACAAAGAGTCCTCCTCTTCGACCACACGATCCGCCGACCGACCGGCAACCGTAACCCCGTCCAGCGCGTACACATCGATCAGACACCTTTCTCCGCCGCCGAACGAGTCAAGTTCCATCTACCCGATGAAGCCGAACAACTGCTGCAAGGACGATACCGCATCATAAACGTATGGCGGCCGCTCAATGGACCTGTTATGGGTAGTCCGCTTGCGGTCGCAGATAGCCAGACAGTGCGCGACGGCGATCTGATACCGATCGAGCATCGCTACCCCGATCGGAATGGGCAGACGGCGGCTGTGGCATATAACCCGGGGCAGAAGTGGTATTATTGGTCTGGCATGACGAATGAGGATCGCCTGCTGCTGAAGTGCTTTGACAGCGATGAGAATGTAGGTCAGTGGGGGCGTGTACCGCATACAGCTTTCGTGGATCCAAGGACACCAGAGGGCGCGGTTGGTAGGGAGAGTATTGAGGTTAGGGCGTTGGTGTTTGGTTGAAGCGATCACATGTCATCAGTCTTTGATGTTGTTGTTACATTTAGTTACATTACATAGGCGATTAATTCCTTCTAGTCAATAATCACTATCCATACACCTTCAAGACATCGCAACCCTGGCATCCATCCATCCAAAGAAGTTACTACACATCGCCTGGCTTTCAGACTGTATCACTAGCCACTTTAACACGTACTTGCTTACGGCGTCTAGCCTCATACTTTCTCACTTCCAATCTCTCCGAAATTTTATCCAACACCACCTCGCCAAACTTGCAGTCAAAGGCTCTTTCGGTCAGGCGCATCTTCTCTTTCGATCGAAGTGTCGGCTTCAGGATGCCAACTGTAGACGCTTCGTCACCCTCGGACGTTTCGAATCGCAGGTGGACATTTTTCTTGCCGTTGCGCTCTCTTCGGGAGCACTTCTCCACTAGCAATGTCAACATCAGTGGTCGTGGTTCCGAACCCCATGATTCGGGTATCGAGTGGCAGCTTACTGATGGCTTTTACGCTGTCTTGAAGCTCCTTCATATCTTCCTTGGTGATACCCGCCAAGTGGTTGGCTTTGGGGGTCTCTGGTTTTGCGACAGGGTGAAGATCCGCCGGGGCGTGGGCTTTGGTACATAGTATATACCGTTGCATGTAACAAAACCATGATTTCAGAAGAGACTCGTGGGCTTCGGGAGTGTCTGGATTTGCAAAATGGTGAAGATCTAGGAGCTTGAACTCGTAGCGAATACAATCCTCTGTTTCGTAGGGTGAGTCTTTTTCCTGCGAGTAGCGTAGGATGTCGCGAAAGTACTTCATCGTTTTGGGGCTTCGCTCGAAGGTGGTTTGTGGAATATACTTGGTGTAGTGTAGCGTAAGAATGTATCATTCTTTGAAGAAAACGGCGTTCGATACGAGTGATGAATCTGCTTCGAGTCATCTTCAGCTACTGTCAGACTCATACATGACATTCTTTAGTAGGCTCGGTTTTTACGCTCGCCTCATATAGCTCAACTTCGTGTGTATCGCTAATTGAGTTCGTTGTCGCGACTGAAGGAAATATGCGAGTCCATTGTATGTTTGGCCAGAGAGAAGACCGTCATCAAGATCGGTCTCTTGAAGCAGGTATCAGGCGCGGCAGTGTGTTATGAGTCGTACATGCCAGTTACTATCTTTATATTTGCAGTCAAGTCTTACGTGGACTAGCGCATGGTTCCATTGAGAATGCACTAGTTCTGAGTAGATGAGCACGCTTGGCAGAGAGAGTTTTGAGGTGCGGGCCATGGTCTTTGGTTGAGCTCAGGTCTGGCCTCTGGTTGAGCTTAGGTCTGGTCGTCGGTTATCGCAGAAATCTTTCTTCTCCATTCTTCCAATGTTTGTTGTACATCCTCAACGCCAGAATCTATAGGTCGGTGGTTCCATGAATGTCTCACACCATTTATCTGATCCCTCAACAGTTCTACCAGGTTTTAGTATGATAGTCGCGGCTGGTTATTATCTGTCCATTTATCGCTCTCTGTTTACAGCCAGAGAGAAGACGCTAAGGTGCGCATTTTATATTTCTCTATAGTTAACTTACTTTAGTGTGTATACAATTCTAAAGTTTAGTTCTTCTATTCTATCTATAGTACTATAATAATGTAAAGTAATATAGCTACTTAAATCTCTTAAAATGTATAACTACTATATATGTAAAAGGTACTTCTTATTAAATAAGAGAGATCGCAATCCTTAGAGTTACGGCTAGAGATCTGAAAACCAAAATCCAACAATGACGGTTGCAATCCCTGCAGACTGCGCGCTTCATTGATCACTTAGGGCTGTCTATGAGAAGCTTAGGTATAATCCAAACGTATCGTTATTCCATCTGAAAATAAAGAGTACAAAAAGACAGTCTCCTAGCCCCCTATCCCAAAGACCAGTCTCTCTGAAGCATCTGTCCTCATCCAAAGACACCAGGGTAATCTCTCTTCAATTCCTCGCTGCCCTTCTTGAGCGCTGTTTGTGCATCCGAGCAAGACGGCCCTTCTATCAAGTAGATATCGTCCTTGTCGTTCTCGGTGTATCTAGCAACAACCTTGTAATTGTTTTGATCTTCTTCGAGCTCTAGAGATATGCGAGACGTGTCATAGCGTTCATTTAGGACGAGGTAAGCTATCGTGTTTGTTAGTGAAACCGCCGTAAATTAGTCTCAAAAGAAGTCACATACTCAGCGGTAATATGTAAAGTGCGAACATAGGTAGTTGCCAGAGATCATTGAAGGCGACTTTTGAGACGACCAGTCCGCGGGTCGGGGTGAGAACGCTACTCATCTTCTCTGGCTGCTTCTGCGAAGAAGTTTGAGCAGTGGCATTAGGATTCGATGAAGACGTCCTCGGGGTTTGTTGGGAGGCATCTGCCCGATCAGGTACTTGTCCATCATTCGGAGAAATTGCGCGGGCCGACAGTGCAGATTCTTGAGGCTTCGCTTTGTGGCGAAAAATGAGATCTGAGAGGTTGGGACGCATTTCGCGAGGTCTGTTAGGTGCGAGTTTCGTGAGGAATGTTAAGAGTTTGCATGTTTCTAAAGCTGTCAATTTATACAAGCAGTGACTCGAATACAGTCATTGCTTCGAGTCACATACATGGGCTGATGAGTATGTGCTTCTGACGATTATAGCAACGCATCGTTTCGCCACACGGTGACTGCGCTCTAGCTTCGTGCTGGGCTCTCATCTTTAGTCTTTGATGCCCGGTGGGTACTGCTCTAGGTGTGATCAGTCATAACTCGTGCGTACTTACATCCATCCACTCATCACTTCCCGGGATGGTGTCAAGTCGAAAAGCTGTCGAGAGATCAGTTCAATTAAGTCCAGGCTGTGTAGCTTTCGTGGACAAGCTGCAGTAATGATTTTACATCAATTATAGCCTGTCGGAGGAAATATAATACGCGCGAGTAGAACACCATTGAAGAAGTCGTGGTAATGATTGTGGTGCATACTGCTGCTAGATAGGGAAAGAAGAACCAAGGGCATGTTGAAATACCGTGGCGAGATAGTCTTATACCGACTGTTGAAGTCATGCATGATCTAGTGAAGCGTCATTCTTCAGTAGTCGTCACCCCGAGAGACGACCTCTTTGCAGTTGGGCCTGAGCAATACTGTCTGCAAAGTATAGAGTCAGCCATAGCCCACATCCTTAATAGTGTCTTACTTACATGCTCAAACTGCGCGATGAATGATCCGGGAACATCCACCAGCGGCGCATATGCTTGAACAACACCACTGTTCACCAGCGTTCGCATACCGAGGTGGTATTTCTCCACACTTGGCAAGCGTTCAAGCTGACGGCGGGCAAAGACCAGAGTCCCGAAGTTCTCATCGATGGTCTTCAATAGTGACTTCGCAGATGAATGATGGAGGCCGGCAGCGCTGACGCCCTCGTTGCGTCCGTAGCCGTATACGCCAACATCGTCATGAAGATATGCTTTGCCGGTGCTACCGAAGGTTTCGATCGCGAAGATGTCACCTTCTTCCATACGCTGGGAAGTCTTCGTCTTGACGAAAGGAACTTGTTTGTCGCCATGGATGCGGTAACGTAGAATGTTATGGCCGGTGATGTTGCGCACCGCCTTCACGGGGATGGTCTTTCCTTGGAGCTCTACCTCGTAACTTTCCATGACCTCTTGAATCATTTCACTGATATGATCAATCCTCGCATCGATGCCTGCTTCCTTCAAGCCTATATTGGTAGCTGCCTTCACCGATGCCAGCAAGTTGTCATAGATCGGATTGGCAGCGACAGTAAAAGCGCTATCCACGATCCTGCCGTTGACATGCACGCCGAAATCGACCTTGAGGACGTCATCGTGTTGAAGGAAGCCTTCCTTCGCTCCAGCATTCGGGGTCCAGTGTGCGCCGACGTTGTTTAGGCACAACCCCGTTGGGAAGGCGAGACCAGCTTTGAGACCATCTCCAGTCTCAAGACCCTGGTGGCCAACGAGCGTACGAACACTGTCGTCAATCTCCTCGGCAATGCGGGTGAGAGACACCCCGGGCTTTGCGATGGTCTGTATGTACTGGCGCACCTGGCGGTGGACCTCGGCAGCCTTGCGATAGTCCTCCAGGAAGCTATCGTCCATGTTTTCCACAGCGGCCAGATGGCGAAGCTCTCCAGCCGTGGTGCGCTGAAGGTTCTCGTCCTTGATGGCATACTCGACAGTCTGACCGTGTGGATAATTTCGGCCCTGGTACAGATCGGCTAGCGGAACCCTCGGGGGCGCTGTCTGCTGTGTCGGTGACACTTTCTTACTCTTTTTCTTGTTGCGCTTTCTTTTCTTCTTTGCGCCTTCCGATTGTCAGCGTTAGATTGAAGTCACGTGAGCCCAGCTCACCATCGTTGTTTTTCACGTCAGCTCCAAGCTTTGCGATATCATCATCGTCGTCTCCGTCTTCATCCTGCCCTTCCAGTACGCCTGGAAGTAGTCCGCTAGCGGCCGCTGGCTTGGGAGGGTTGATGATAGCGATTGCAGCGTCCGCCGACGACCCTGTCAGCTGTCAGCATATGTCTTCTCAGGATCGCTTCGATCGCGCTCACCGTCTGGGCCTTGGCGATGATCTTCTGGAGATTTTGACCCCATGACTGCTTCGAAGCGATTGTCATCAAGCTTCCGAGCTACTGTTGGTGTTGGTGTTGGAGTTGGTGGTCAATGAAGCGGCGCGGAGCTACCTGGGTGACACGGCGGGGCCTGGGCGGGGCGCATAACAACGGTGTGCCTTTTGCACTATCCCGTCCTGCCACCAACACGACGTCGCACAAGACCAACATCGATTCCTCGCCTCAATCAAAACTACGAACAAGACCGGAACTCAGCCTCGGACGACCGAAATTGTTCATTCAAGACTTTGACACTTTTGAGGGCGCATCGAACCCGGACGGGCCCCTCTCATTGGACAGAGGTACTTTGCACACCAGCAGGGTAGAACTTCTGCAACAGACACAACATTCACGCAAGAGTATGAGGCGGTTGACGTTGTCATTCTCGATACAGACTTGTCAAGTGCTTCGCAAACGCGATGAACGATGGAGACTATCCGCGCGTCCTATGTGACCTGGAGAATTCCGCCAACTGGCACTGCAGTGCATCCTCGTGCTGTTTCCAAACCTTGGTCGATGCGCAGTAGTCCCATTCGATCACCCCTCTGATGATATAGACATTCAAGCCTGAACCCTCGGTCTTACTGAAAGATCACCTGGGCAATGATACTCCGGTGGTGGACCTCGAAGTTGCCGAACCCCCAACAACAGCTTGTTCAATGCTTCTGGAATTGTATCGCCCACTGCTGCTGCACTAAGTGGCTGCCCACCAGTTGAAGATATAACACACGCTTGATATCTCTGGGTTCCCCTAAAGCGGTGCACGTATTCCCGTTCGACGAGCACCTTGAAGGCATTGAGGGAGTTCCCCGACAAATTTGGGTCCCAGACATCTACGTTGCGATACAGGCTTTAGTGAGTAGAGTTCAGATACTGGCAGTAACGGGCGTAGTTACCGATGATGTCTTGCTTCGTGCGCTCATGCTCAGGACCCAAAGCATCGATGGATTTCCATTTGTGGAAACTTGTCTCGGTTCTTCCACTCCCAGCAAAGATAGTGCAGATGCACTGCCACATTGGAAAACAGTACGGGTTAGTATAAGTATTAAGAGATGCAAATTCCCAGCAAGGCCTTCTGAAGAACGAGCGCAAATGGGTATATTCGCAGCCATACACTTTATACTCAGCGTGAGTCACAATCGAAGACGAAGTATGCCATCACCAGGGCCATTCCAACGAATTCATGAACAGTCGCAGAAGCACAGTCAAGAAACTGGTCATGGAGTTACTAGTGATTAGGTGGTCTCTACATCTCCGACGACCTCACACAGCTATGGCACTTGTTACACCAACCGACATGGTCAAAGTCTGGCGAACGATCGTTACGTGCCCTTCGACGAAGCGAAAGTTGCGCCGTGCATGCAACTACAGCCCGGCACCAAAGGTGTACTCTAGCGAATGGACGTTGCGAGACTTACAGCGGTAGAGTAGCTGTACAAGGCGTAAACATACTGAATATGCGTTGTAACTTGAACAACTCGTTAGCCAAAGCAGTGTTGCTTTCCAGATGGCAACGAAGGAGACCGGGCATCGAGGCATGAAGACCTGTGAGCATGACAGTGACATCCTCCATATCTCTGGAGGCAGTCGCGGCAGTTTTCTTCAATATTGATACCGTAAGCAGCGTATAATTCTGTGATATCTGGTTGTGAGATGAACGTGATAGGAAGGGACTCCCAACGCGAACTTGCCGAGGATGACTGTTCAGGTGTCGCCAAGACGTCGCACTTGTCGTACGAGAACGCCACCAAAACGAATTCTGACTTGTGCAACCACCCCTCTGCACCGCGCAACCATCACCAACGAGCCGTATTGTTGGCTTTCTCGACCTGTCTCCCGTTCAGAACCGCTGCAGCGTTTATACAGCAAAACCATTCGTGTTTGGCGATTCATCATGCTCAGTAAGAGTCGGAGTCACCTTTTCAATAAAGGCAAGGGCAGTGCAAGGTCTTTAATCCTTCAGGCGCCCTGTTTACCCCTGCAGAAAATGAGTCTGCAACGAGCCGCATGGGCCCAAAGATAGACGGCACAATGTCGCTAAACGTCTAGATCTTCCGCGGGATTGGCTAACTCGCTTGGCAAGAACAGCATGATTGGTTGAAAGAGACGGACCTTGGAAGAGGCGCAAGGCTGCATCAATCGCTTAAGGGGAAACGAGATGTGCCTGCACGCTTTGCACGACCGGTGAGCTAGCCATGTAGTTGTCTGGGTCGGCGGCGCGGTGCTTGATGGTGCTTAAGATGAGGGCGTGGCCCTGACGGCTGGAGACAGCCCTACAACTTTACTAATATCTAATCTTCGCGTTTCGCGACCCACGATCGTTACTTTCGCAGCGCATAGCGATATGGCTGCCCGATTCGCCCTCGTAACGATCGCTAATGCCGCCATTGCGGGCGCGCAGTTCTTGGATGATGACTACACTACCACTCGTTATACATCAGCATACTGGACCTACACCTACGCTCAAGCGGAGGTTGCCACACAAAGCCTGTACACATATTATGACGACTCCGTCGCTACTGAGACTTACACCGAGTACCGCACTATAAAGGATGGAGTCACTCCTACGATCGCACCGTACTCAACTTCCACGGCCCTCGGCTACTACGACAATCTTGAGGTCGTATACGCGTATTACACAACCAGTGCGGTGGCCGAATCTGATCTTGTGCCTGAGTATGATTACTACGCGACTTCCCCTTCGGCGACGGCGACGACCACCGAGACAGTCAAGGATATCGAATTCAGCATGCCAGTCACGATGACGGCACCTGCCTCATGCCCCACACCATGTAAGTACTACGTTCTCTCTGCGAATCTCTTCGACACTGACTTTGACTGCCTGTAGTTACTATAACAACATCCGCCTCTGTATACGTCCCAACTCAGGTTACTGCGCAACTTTCACCAGCTTCGATTGAAACATCCTCTGCCACTGCCTACTCCGGCACCCTTTACCTTTGGGAGACATGGTACCTTTCCGAGAGCGCGGCGCCTTTCACGTCAACGTCGGACTACTACTACTCTGTCTATATGGCGGATTGTAGTACACCTCCGGGATCGTACAACACTCACACCTCGTCGTCTGGCGGCTCAAATCGCGGCAGCTCAGACAACGACGACAGTGACAGCGACAGCTCATACGACAGTTGCTACTACTATTACTGTAGATCTCGTGTGATTACATGGATCATCATCATCGCATGCATAATTCCCGGTCTCTTCCTGCTTGGCTTCCTTGAGTCTTGGTTCTGGTTCCGTCGCCTCATGCTTGGTAAGAGTGCCATGCGTTTTGGTACCGTCTGCTGGATTCTCATGTCGCTTTGGGTACTCTGCTTTACTCGCATGCAAGATCGCCGAAGTGTTGAAGACCAGAAGATGTTGGCTGAGAAGTGGAAGAACATGGGTAGTGGGGCGGCTTTCAAGGCCTGGTGGAAGTGGGGATTCCGTCATCGATACCCCGAAGAGTTGTTGGGTCAGTTCAGCAAGACTACCGTCGGCTTCGTGCCGCCGGGTCAGCCACTGTACCCGGCCATGGCTCAAACACCCGGTGCTTCCCAGCCTATGGTCCCTGGTCAAGTTTACTACTACGGCCCTCCGCCTCCGGGCTGGGTCGTATCACCGAACGGAGGATTTGTTCCACCTCAAGGCTACACGTACCCACCTCCTCAGCAAGCTGGCTACTACGGCGATATGACTAAAGCTGGACCGGTGGTGTCTCAATCTCCCGTTTCGGCAGTGGGCTACCCACAACCGCAGCAGCAGATGGGCAATGTCTCTCCTATGGCCCCTCAGGCCCCTCAAGCCGCACATACTGCTCCTCATAACGGCTCCCATACACCTACGCCATATGGCGCCCCGCCGAACGTCGGCACAATGCCAGTACAAGCACCGCCTCGAAGCCCCTCCCCAGAGGGACCTTCGCCTCCACTCCCACCTCGACCTGTGGCTGAAGGAGCGCCGCAGATTCCACCTGTGGACGTGAGCGATGCAACAACAACAGACGATGCAATAAAGCAAGAGCCCACCGCGCCGGCTACTGCTCCCCCTCCCCCGAAGAACGACCCCAACGACCGAAGCTTGTATGAGTAGGCTTATTAGTCAACTCGATGTAATTAGACTCAATGAGTCAAGACAGTAGACCACATCGGTCATGAAGAAGAGATAGTCACAGTTTAGCATAGTTCTCCTTGAGCGTTTCGCATACAGATACCCTAGCTCGGAGTCATTTCTCTACGTCACCAACGCGATGACAATAATCTACACTGTAGTATGGTCATTGCCGACACATCTTCTACCTTCCTGCATGACTACGCAATCTCGTCTCTACAAAGTTCCTAAGCCGCTTTTCTGTGGAGGATACGTAACAGCAAGGCTTAGTACACGCTTCTCACAGTCATTCTGTAGTTTGCCAAAGTCACAACCATGAGTTTGACCATGCCGAGTCAAAAAGCTGTATGATATCTCAGATCTATAAGAGCTTCACTCACTCTACTGTTTGGATTCCTTCCCTCCTAGTATCCACTATGGCGTACAAATCTCCCATGGAGCCCTACCAGAGCACTTGTGCTTATAGTAAAGTCAGCCCTGTCTCAAGTCTCTCAAACAATTCTGTTCGCAGGAGGTCTAGCGACGTATCGCTGCGCTCTATCGCGCCCGAACACGATCGAACCGGCTATGGATACGAATCTCATACGTTGGGGTATACACCTACACCTGGTGAGCACTTACACCTTACACAACAAAAGTCGCATATGCCAAAGGCGGGAAAGTAATTTGCTCATATCAGCGTTACAGATTTGACAACAAGACGCATGGATGATTACAACATACAACCTTCGCCACAAGTAAAGCAGCCAGAAATCCACCACGCACGCTTTGACCATCCTCCCTTTGCCCAACAGGCACGATTCAGCTATGCTACCCCAGAAGACGGAAACCCAGTGAACGGCACAGTGGCCCAGCAGGACTATTTGGAACCTGATCTGAACTGGCGGGATCGTCGTCGCTGTGCCCGCATCCAAGGTACGATCGAGCTCCGTCATGTTAGGGTTTCTCAGGTGTGTTGACAAAGCCCTATGGGCGGATAGACAGATTCATAGCCCTCGATTCGAGCAAGCACAACGGTCTTGATATCGATATTCGTTGGCGAGAAGAAGATGCTCCTCACGGCAGAGGAAAGGAGGTGATAGCTTTACTTCTCGTAGCAGGAGGTGACAGGAAGACACCAAAGGAACAGATGTGGAGCAAGCCTTCTACAGACGCTTCGAAGGCTTTGAAGAACCTGGAATTTAGAGTCAACGAGAGGGGTAGGAGGGAGGCATCATCCGTAAATGGAGTGGGCTGTACAAGGATCTGGCAAAGAAAGTTACTCAGGCTGGTCGCTCGAAAGAAGTCACAATAATTTGACTAACAAGGATAGTGGTTATAAGTGGGATTCACGACATACAGCAGTTAAAGTGCACTACGTGTCACTTGCGATAAGTCTAATATCATCTTTTTCTTGCTGTCATGTCTTGTGCCAAAGACGTGAGTCAACGGGGGTTAGGGAACTTCTTCGTATCAGGGGGCTAGAACCGGTACTCAACACTCTTGAGCCGCCTTATCTACATCTTCATCTTCGCTCGACAGATATGCATCTCTCGGTCTCAACACGTCAGCGATCGATAACGTCATCGTCAATGACCGATTCTGAGTGTTGTGGGTTGACACTACCTAGGTAGGCTGTGGCTCCGACGGCAGGTAGTTCGGAAGCGTCCTGAGCCTAAGTCCTATCGGCCGATCCGGGAAGCCTGCATCCGGATGGACCCGACGTGCGCTGTTAGTGTTCGGCGATCCTAATGATCGGCTACCTACTTTACAGTCCGTGCGCAGCCAACGAGCTATTCGTATTGCGCTGCATCGTGAATCGTGTCAACTCCAACGCGGCATACTTCGACAACCACGAGTCTAATTCGAGCCATTAGATACACAGGGTCGCGTAACTACAGGATGCGAGCGCAAGGTTATAGTTATACAAATCACGTAAAGCGTACCTAGGTACCTAGGTAAGATCAAGCGAATAACCTGCCAACGTCTACCTCTGCGACTACATGCGCGCGACTGGGGCTCTATAAGGTTGCGGTACACTCTCTTCTACAACCTGTGTTACGCTTGCTTACAGGGCTAGGGGTTCTTCATAGTGTCCTAACGGCACTCCGACCGCTTGTCCGAGCTGACCAGTTTACTTTTTACCATGCGCCAAGGCTGGCTAGAGCTACTCTCCTAATCGCGGCGATGTTTGCTTTTGATCGTGCCGCCTGTCCGAAAGTAGCACCGGCCCACAGTACTGTCAAAAGAGGATGGCTCAACTCGAGGAAGCGGACAGCACTGTTTTAGCTGACATCCAGCCCTGACACCCGCAATGGTCTCTTGTAGGTATGCAAGGTGAGCTTCTAAGCTAGACGCTGTCAGATAGACGTTGTTGGACAGATCCTACATGTAGAGCAATACTAGTACTGTCGCTGGCATATTCAGCTGCCACACTAGCTGTCGCTACACTCTCATGCATATACAGCTTCGGGCACTAAGACATGCAGCAAATGACATAATCGGTAGAAGCATTGACGCCTCCTCTAATAGTCACTATGACATATCCCTCAGAGATAGACACCTGCTTCCCACATATAAATCGGTTGCTGTCGAGTATCTCGTAGTTTTTTTACTACGAGAACCCAAGGCTGCAACTATGTCGTTCACAATCTACATCATCGCCATCAACGGCGGTCACGTCGTCGAAGCCGACAATGCCGGAAAGGAAATCAAGACCCAGAAAGCAACAGTGTCCAAGTCCCAGCAATGGGTGGTGGAGTGGAAGGGCGCAGGTAAATCTGACGAGTTCGCGCTTCGAAATGTCGCGACCGATGCCTATCTGGGGGCTCCCAAGGGCGTCAGTGGTACATATTGCACCACAAACGCAAAGCAGTTCTGGCGAGCTGAGCCTGGTCATGCGCCTGGATCTTTCTGGTAGGTTTTGACGTCGAACGATTTGCGTGCGCTTGCTTACAGTAAGTAGGTTAAAGAGTCTCGAGTTCGACGATGCATGCCTGTGCAACTCAGGCGCCAAGACCACCGCTAATAGCATCGTCTACATGTGGAAGAAAGATGTATGATGACATTCACGCCTACCATTAATGATTAAGCGCTGACCGAATTATAGGAGGGTTGGGTCCAGTCTATGCTCTGGTATCTCAGGGATGTCAACGAGAAAAGCCCTTTTGGTCATGTTGCATAGTAGAAATCGGCCTGCCACAAGTGTATGGCAGCAGCGTTGGGAGCGATTTCTTTTATCGAGGTGGGGTTTGGCTTGTTTGTGTATGTTTACCTGGTAGATCAAACTTATATAAATGCGCTTCAACGCAGGAACAAGATTTTTCATCCCGCTACGTATGACGTTTACTACTACTACTATGAATATGTACACCAACATTGTCCCTCAAATTCACAATTACCCCCCAAACACAGCTTGTGCCGCACTCAAGAGCCTTCAACCGGTTTGACATAAATTCCGCCATAATCGTCCATTTGGTTCATAAGATCGACTAACGCCATCCTAGCGTATAGCTTCTCCCTTCCCGATGTAGTAGTACGAGTCTTCGTAAATTTGCCCTTCTGTCCCTCCAGTTCCACTTCCTTGTCGTATGTGAGAGTAATTACATAAAATTTGTCTGAGCTTGGAGAGGGGTGTTCCATGACTGTCATGTGGTCGAATATCTTTTCGGGGTCGAAATCCTTATTGAAGTGAACCATGGCCTCTGTAGCTGAGTTAGTGAACATGTGATTACTTATTGATAGCTCTACTTGCTTTTGATCTTTTCGAGCATCTTTGCACACCCCTCACGCTCAAATATGCCGGATGCAGGAATGTCAGCGCCCTTTAATATGTTCGGTACACTGGGTGCTTCGGAGTTCTGGCTTGATGGTGGGACCGATTCAGAATTTGAAGCCATTTTGGAGTAGTAGAAGCGTTGTGGAAGAGTTTGTTGGTTTTGGAGGTATGGCAATGAAGAAGAATGCGACATAGACCTCCAGCTTTTGTAAGAAGCTTGAGTCTTGAACGTGGCTGACTCCACGAAGCACTCATCACTGCGAAATTACTCACCAACTTCCTCAAGTCAGAGAGTATGACTCTTCCGCGTACTACCGTGACTCTTGCTATGTATAAGAGAGAGATGAACATACGGTGGTCATACGATGAGCCTTGTTCACCGAACCATCCTTCAATTCTTATACACTCCGCTATTATCTCTATCCATACTACAGGGACCTCCTATTAGCCATCATCACAATGAGCAGCCACGACAGCAACGGTGGTGTTACGCAGCACAACGATGACAACAAATCGAGTGAGTATGACACGCCAGTCAAAGGAACTCCCACAAGACTCAAAGATCTCGGCATAATCAACGACACGCAGATGAGAGAGATAAGGAAAGTCGATGGTACGTTCGAATTTCACTTCTGACTTTTATGATCATGGAAAGCTGACACCATCATCTGGTACAGGAAACATCAAAACACTGGTTCCCGACTACAGGGGAAACTGTAAGAGAATCTGGATCGCGTACAAAAAGCCTCTGAAGCAAGGTATCAAACCGCAATGGAAGGCCAAAATCAACCTGCAGGACGAGGAGGAGGACCGAATCGAGCCCAATGGGGAAAATGACAGACCAGTCAAGGGAAAGGGCGCTTCTTTGATGGAAGCTGTAAATGACATGGATCGCGAACTGGAGAAAAGAATGCCGAAGGACATAGCGAAGGAATAAGACGGGCGATTTGTTGATGGTATGCTGGGCAAATTGGAGGAAGCGAAGAAAGTAGAGAATGCGAAATACCTTAGCGTTCCGTCAACGGAGACGGGCTGAAAAGTGACAAAGATCGTACAACTGTGCCTTAAGCTGACTATGGGTGTTAAAGAGTCACTGATCGCTACCGATAACGAATCTCTGTAACATTTGCCGACTCTTTGTTAGATCGTGCTGCCAACCATCACGTACGACTGGTTCTCGCCGAAGGCATCCTAAGATACACCGGAAATTTCCGTAAAAGAGCGCTCACAAGCATTGATGAAAACATAAGAAGCGACTAATGGCATATTGGATACCTTTAAATTCTCGAAAGGTCATATCAATCCTCCTACTCACACCAAGTAGAAGGAAATGTGCAGATAAGACATTATTCAGATGAACCACGAGACATTCCGCACGAACAAAGATCAATGTTGGATGGATTGAGCTGCCCCCCGCCTCGGGAGATTATTTCGGGTTACCATATGCCCATGAAGCTGCCATAGAGATTCGGTAGATGTTTTCTTATCCCCGCATGCGCAGTACTCGTTTGGCAGCGTAAGAGTAATCTTCTCTCTACCTTGCACGGTTTCCCATTTCCAGCCTTCACCACGTCGATATTTCCAATCGATATTAAGCGCTATGTCTAAGACAAGGTTAAGTGAGTACATCCTGTGGTGAGCACGCGACGACTTACCTTCGATGTCCGCGACAATCCCCTGCTCATCATCGTCAATATCCCGACCGTCAATGCGGGTCGTAAAATCATAGATTTTATTGGAGTCCGTCCCACTGGTTTGCTCGCCAGAATTTTGCTCGCCATGGTTTCCATCGCCCTTGGTTTGGTTGTCATCGTTGTGGTTGCCATTACTTTGCTCGTCATCGATTCGCGTGCCGATCGCATGCGCACCATTGACTGGCGGTTCATTCGTGTTAGCGCCGGTGCACATGGCTGTTTTCCTAGGAACAATATGTAGATGTGGGAATGTAGCCGCGTCAACAAGTAGGGTAGTCTGGTTTTGTTTTAGCACCGAGATACCAGGAACGACGATTTTTATAGTGCTGATGACTCCCAGAAAAGAGATCTGAGCGTGGGAACATGTCATATCTCGATGACTTCTCTAGAGGTTAGTATACAGGAATGACTGTCATGACGCTGTAAGGAGTGACTGGATGCAGATACTCGGGGCCATCATGTCTGCATAGTGGGGTAAAAGGAACGACGGTAGCACCCATGATGTGTACGGTGACAACAGTCATGGTACTCAGCCAGCAAGAGGTCGAGGTGCCTTCAAGTCTATGAGTATACGATCGTGCAGGTCACGGTCTGTGGCCATACAAATATGACATGAGTAGTATGATCAGGGCAGCGCAGGGCTCAAGCTCAACTCACCAACATGTATGTGCGCAACTTCCCGCGTTTGGCTGCCGTGCCGTGTCGTGGCTCGTAGTCAAGCTCCACAGCGGGATCGACCGTTGGCGATGACAATACTCGAGGAGTAGACGGTTGGTATGATCATTCGTTAAAGCGCAATTGAAAGCAGACTGGATGAACTAGACATGTTGAGGTATTGGTATCTATCTTCGCGCTGAATATCAAGCAGCCAGCAGAACACTACAGAAAGTGCAAAAGAGAGCGCACGAGGGCGTACGAAGAAACCGCAATCTACGCAAGCCAGATGCTATGCATGATATCCCATATCATCAATTCAAGAAAAGAGAAGAGGGAAGAAGGAAGAAAAGGTACTCCGACATGCCAGGCTCCAGCGTCCAGACATCGAGCTAAGAAGTATGTGGGAAAGAGAAAAGGAAAAGTCAAAACTCTGCTTCCACCACAATCGAAAAAACATTATCGTACAAGCGCCATCAAGAAGCGTGAAAAAGGGTGTGGTATGTATAGCGTTTCCATGTTGTGCCATTAGTATCCGTACTGTCGTCTAGCCGTGGCGGCGCGTGGCCTACGTCCACCAGAACCGGGGCCAATGTCAATGCTCTGCAGCTCCAAGCTGAGAGCCATGTCCTCGTTCTGTGTGCCGTAGCCGCCGCCGTTCATGTCCATGGGTACCTTTGCGGGGATGGGCGGTGCCGCAACGCTATGCCTTTGGGTACCACGTCGGTCGTAGCTGGGGCTGCTGCCGTAGCTGTTGGGGGTGTCGCGTTCGCGGAGGACCTGTCGGTCTGGGAGTTGGTACTGCGGTGGTGTGTCATAGGCGGAGACGGGGCGTTGGTCTCGCCTTGTGGGCCTGCTGCGTGCTGTTGGATTGGGAGGTGCGTTGTACTGGCTCTGGCTTGCGAGTACCAGCGCACCCGCATTTACAGGCTGGTTGTAGTCGTTATTGAAGTCATGTCTCGTCGTGACTAGGGCGTTGCTGTTGTCGAAGTTCATGCTAGCTGCATGGCGAATGCGCTCTCTGTCAGCACGCTCTCGTTGGTATCGTTCCTCGCGTTGCATCGCGGCCTCGAGATCTCTGCTGCCGTTGAGCTGAGCCCTTGTTCGAGGAGCCTTCTCCTTCACGGTGCCCTTTGGTACTGGCTCAGGCGCCCAGTTGTCGACGGGTAAATGGTCGGACGCATCGACAACCCGTCCACTGAATGTGACAATCTGGCCCTTGTCGTTGTACTCCATTCGGCTTCCTGGTCGCTCGAGTTCGTCGTCCGAAGGTATGGGAGACTTGCTGATCCAAGGGTTGTAGACATCGAAACTGTCGGGGTTGAAGGCTACTCCAGACAGTCGTCGCTCACCCATGTCTTCTCTGGAAGGCGGTGGGCGAGGTGAGACTGATTTACGCGTCGGCATACTCCTCGCAGGCAACCTAGACGAGCGATCGGTAGCTGGGTTAGGAGAGTGACGTTCCATCTCAGGGTTGGGAGAGTAACGATCCATGATCGGATTGGGTGAGTAGCGGTCCATTGCTGGGTTGGGAGAGTAGCGTGAGCTCACGTTAGGACTCGTAGCACGCGGCTTGATGATAGGGCCGGCATCGTAAACTGGGGGAGACATCTGTCGAGGCTGCTCAGGCGGGTCATGAGGATAATAGTCGTTCGTTTGGTACGCAGAATGATGAACTAGTTCCTGCGACTGAACAGGGTCTTCGTACTGAGTGATGGCCCGATACTCTGCAGGCTCAGAGTAGTGGCGCAGTCTCGGTGGTGTCTCGTACGACGGAGGCGCTTCGTAAGGTGGCGCTTCAATCTCCTGTCTTTGCGGGTTGAGTCCAGCGATGAGAGCACTCGGTAACGCCGGTGCTTCCTGTCGCAGGGTTTCTTGTCGTAGCGGGGATGGTACCATGTTGTCGCGAGACACTGGACGACTCGACGGCTGCACCGGCATGCGAGGATGAGTGTAGCGTCGCTCTGCAGGTTGTCGGGGCGCGTAGTTATCGGCCTCGTATTGCTGGGGCGGCATATCGTAGCTGAACTGACGGGGCTCCTCACGGGATCTCGCCGAGAAGCTCAGGGGCGCGGGGGCTTCTTCGCGGTAGCGCTCACGCTCACGGCTCTCTTGGTTCGGGTGAGGTAGCGTGCTGGCATTGCGCTTGTGCATTGGCGGCGGTGGTGGCATGTCATCCTCGTCTTCAACCATGGGCTGCATGGCGCTGCGTCTCCGATGCGTGGGGCTCTCATCTTGTAGAGGAGGAGCCTCGATGAATCGTTGGCCGTAGTATTGGTCGAGTGGAGGAGCTTCCTGGGCTTGCTCGCGGCTACGACTGCTTCGCAAGGGTGCAACCTGATAAGTCGGATCCTGGTACTGGTCTTGCGCGTATGGCTGAGATGGCTGCGGGGCCGGCTCAATTCGTTGAGGCTCAAACTGCTGATGCTGGAGTAGCTGTTGCTGCAGGTACTCGATCTGCTTCTGCTGCTCCTGCAGTTTTTGCGACTGCGCCGGAGACTCATACGCGTGCTGCGTTGGCACAATTGGTGCCGAGTGAGAATGTACTGGCTCGGGGTGCTGCAGTGCCTGGCTCCTAGGAGATCGACCGTCTTCCTGTGACATCCTCCTCTGGTCTGAGTGCCGGACATGTTGTGGCAGAGGATCGATGGGCTTCACCTCGTATGGCTTGGGCGCGGCGTAGGACATGTCGAAGCTCTCTTCCCTCGGGAGGGGCATTCTCTGGGCTGATGAGCGCGGGTTCGGCGGCGTGCTGTAGGAGGTCTGCGGTACAGGGCGCTGGGGAGTGTTCTGGCTCGATGACGATGCGGGGTTCAGGGGGGACGCGTCTGGTATAGGCCTGCGTGAGGGCGTGTCGGCCGGGCTGCGCTGCGTTGGTGACGGCTCGGTTGCTGTTCTTTGGTGTCGCGGGGAGCCGAGTTCTCGCGGGCCAGCCCTAACGCCCCGCAGTCCTCGGTGCTCTGGTGTGTGTACGGGTGATGGCGTCGTGCCTGTGGGGTCGCTGGGCAGCGGGCGCCGCTTGACGGGTGCCATCTCTCGCGCTCCACCCACAGCAGCCTGTCCCTCTGGCTTGGTCGACTCCCTCCTCTTCTGCAGAACCGGCTTCTCGCTCTTCTCGCGGGTGTCGTAGTAGGTGATCTCCATGCGGATCTCGCCAGCGTACTTGCCCTTGCAATTGAGGCCCAGCCACTCGTCGCTCTGGCCTCCACCGGGGGTGATGACGGAGTTGAGGTTCGCAAAGGCCTCGCCAATCAGCTCCGTCTTCTTGTCGTCATTGAAGACAGAGACCTTGAGGCGGTTGTAGTCGGGCGAGTCGTGGACTGTGAAGCGCAATTCCTGGTCCCTGCATATGTCAGTCGTGGGTGTTCGAAACTCGTCGAAGGCATACATACCATCGCGGTGTCTGGCCGCCGCGCTTGTCGGTCTTTGTCTTTTTTGCCTCCTTGCCTAACCGGGCAGCGCAGTACGGGTCCTGCTTGCCCATGGTCCTCTTGTTAGGCAGGTTGCGGGCGCGGTCCATGATGACAACCAGGGTGCCTATTACCGGCCCGTCGACCGTCATGTCGGAGAAAATGCCCGCAGCGTGAGC